GTTGTTGCAGATGTTTCTATGCCAATCATTGGTATGGATGTTCTACAACACTATAATCTGATCATCGACACGCGCAAACGGAGGTTAGTCCACGGAAATACTAATTTATCCGTTTGCATAACTTCTTTTACTGGTTGCTGATTATCCCCAGTCACACTTAAACATATGATAGACCCACTCTATCAACCACTACTTGATAAGTACCCTGGGATACAACAAACTCAATCGAAACTAACGTGTGTAACCAGCAACGTTACACATCACATCACGACTACAGGACCACATGTATTCTCTAAAGCACGACGACTAGCTCCTGAAGAGCTAAGGTTGGCGAGAAACGAATTAGATCACGTGATAGACTTAGGAATCATCTGACCGTCAAATAGCCCTTATGCATCTCCGTTGCATATGGTCCCTAAAAAGGACAGCAACGATTAGCGTCCAACTGGTGACTACCGGTGATTGAATGCAAAAACCATTTCCGATCGTCACCCGTTGCCTCACATTCAGGATTTGACAGCTACCTTGAAAGGTACAACTGTCTTTTCGAAAATCGACTTGATTAAAGCGTATAACCAAATCCCTATGGCTACTGACGACATACGGAAAACAGCTATCCTAACTCCTTTTGGATTCTATGAATTTTTGCGAATGCCTTTCGGTCTAAAAAACGCTGTGCAAACATTCCAAAAATTCATAGACGACGTTTTTCGAGGTCTCAACTTCGTACATGCGTATGTTTGTGACTGCTTAATCGCAAGTCCGGACAGAGAATCACATTTCAAGCATCTGGATCTTGTTTTCGAACGATTACAAAAACATGGCATTACTGTAAACGTTCAGAAATGCCAAATCGGGACCGACTCTTTAGACTTCCCAGGACACACTATCGATGCTCAAGGCATTCGACCTCTTAGGACCAAAGTGGCGGCCATCCTGGATTACCCAGAACCGACCAACGTCAAGCAATTACGCACGTTTAACGGTCTGGTAAGTTTCTATAGACGCTTCATACTGAAATGCGCATTACTCATGAAACCTCTTACCGACCAACTTCGTGGAAATGCGAAATCCATTAATTTGGACGACACCGCACGCAAAGCATTCTTCACAGTTAAAGAACTTATCGCTGAAGCAACAATGCTCGCACATCAGAACACCGAAGCACCCATTAGTATCTCAGTAGACGTATCCGACTCGGCAATCGGAGGAGTCTTACGACAACTCCTGGCAACCCTTGGCATTTTTCTCTAGAAGGTTGCTAGACACCGAATCAAGGTACAGCATATTCAGTAGGGAACTCCTAGCTATGTATTGTGCTGTACGACATTTCCAACACTATATCGAATTCACTCTTTACACGGACCATAAACCGCTCACTTTCTCGTTAAGCTCTCCTTCTGACAAGTACTCTCCCCGTGAGTCTCGACAACTAGACTACATTTCGCAATTTACTTCAGATATACAACATATTTCTGGAGCAAACAATGTAGTTGCAGACGCCTTGTCTCGTATAACCTCCTTGAACAGTTTCCAAGGAATCGACCTTCTGAAACTCGGCGAACTTCAAAAAGAAGACACTGATCTTCAACACGAGTTATCGTCTACAACCCTTAAACTACGCATCAAACAGATGGGAACAGGTAAGGAATCCTTACTTTGTGACACATCTACAGGTAGGGATCGCCCAATCGTGCCGAAACATTATCGACGCAATGTCTTCAACACATTGCACAAACTTTCTCATCCAGGTGTTCGTGCAACCATCAAGCTTATAGCAGAACGGTTTTGCTGGCCTGGTAAGAATAAAGACGTGAGGGAGTGTGCACGCTCCTGTGTAAGCTGCCAGAAATCTAAGGTTATCAGAAACAACAAATATCCCTTAGGCTCATTCAAAACTCCTGATGCTCGATTCGACCATGTTCATCTGGATTTGGTAGGACCTTCACCAGATTCAAATGGATACTCTTATCTCTTAACCTGCGTAGACCGTTTCACTCGATGTCCAGAGGCAATACCTATCAAGGACATTACTGCTAAAACAGTGTCCCGCACCTTCGTTGAACGATGGGTAGCAAACTTCGGTTGCCCTTCAACCATCACTACAGACTGCGGACGTCAGTTTGAGTCTGAACTTTTCCATCGTCTGACCACACTATTAGGAAGCACTCGCACCCGAACGACCGCCTACCACCCACAAGCAAACGGGTTGGTAGAACGTTTTCACCGACAACTAAAAGCTTCACTATCGGCTGCAAACATTTCACAGTGGACCGACGCTCTTCCACTCGTCTTACTAGGTATCCGCAATGCAGTGAAAGCTGACATTGGATACACTGCAGCTCAACTCGTTTATGGAACGACACTTAGACTTCCAAGAGAATTCGTGGATCCTTCACCCTCTTCAATGAGCATGAATCTAACCTCCTACACGAACAGGCTTACAAACGCAATGCGTTCAGTTAAACCTGTTTCCACACAACCACAATTCACCTATGTTTTCGTTCAACCTGACTTACAGTATAGTACACATGTTTTCGTTCGTCGAGACGCACATCGACGACCATTCGAATCAGCATACGAAGGACCTTTCAAAGTTCTTCAACGTGAATCTAAGTACTATATAGTCGATAAGGAACGGAACAAACGATAGCATCAGCATCGATCGCTTAAAAGCAGCGTATTTAGAAGGAAATCCTATTCACATCGATTTCCCTTTGGTACAATCGCACAACACGACTCCTACACTCATAATTCCTCAACCAACACTAGCGATGACACTCCGAATGTGTCTGAAAATAAACTTAAAGCGACACGTTCTGGAAGAAGAGTAAGATTTCCATAACATTTAAACGACTATTGCACGTAAAGCACTACTCGACATTTTATATTATCTCGATCTTTCTTTTTACGACATATATTAATTTTTTTAAAAACAATTTTAATATACTCATTTATTTTTATTAAAAAAAACAAAAAAATTTTTAACGCTATTACGTGTGCTTGAGTTTATTTTCCTTTTTTCGCCGACATTGCGTTTTAACGTACATTCGAGTGTATTTCGACATGCACTTACATTTTCTTTTTTAATTTCCAGTACGCCTGGAAAAGAACGATGCAGTTAACGAGGAGCCGAAATTTTCATCGTACCTTTTCTTTTTTTACTATGTTGTACCTCGGTCCCATATAGTAAGGAAAGACGACCAGACGCTGCTAAATTTAGTAAGCTATCAGAAGAGTGTTTACCAACGACAAACTCGTTGGCTTTAAACTTCTGGCTGGCCACGTCTTAGGGTCATCACTGCCCCACTAGGGGGGGCAGTGATCTGTAGCGGTAAATAAATCCCCAAAATAAATAGCTCCTTAACTTTTCGACATTGGATTCTGACCATATGTTTATATTATTATTATTATTATTATTATTATTATTATTATTATTATTATTATTATTATTATTATTATTATTATTACTGCATTCCCACCTTTACTTATGTCTTATATAAATATATATATATATATATATATATATATATATATATATATATATATATATATATATATATATATATATATATATATATATATACGATTATATAGCTTGATAATAAATTCGTTGAAAAGCGATCCCTTTGCTGAACTTCGTGTTTTAATTTTAAATATGCATTAGTCTGTAAATTCTTATTCTTCTCCTGACCCTATAAACAATTTTCATTTACACTTCGTGTTCAGATATATTGGAGATTGGGAATAGTATTGGGAACCATTACTCCTTCTCATCAGAAGAAAATATCTAAAGTTGGTCAGTCGGTAGAAATTAGAGTAGCCACCCCGTGGTCCACAATAGTATAGCTATACCAGTTGGAAAATTCTGTACGCTACAGTTACTATTTGATTGACTGCTATTTATCTACGAAGAACTATTTTAAAAACGGTCTTTCATAAAGTTCTTAACCTATCGATGTCATAATGAGGTTTATTGATATATGTACCTACAAACTATATAACTCCGAATAACTTGTCTAAACCCGTTTAACATAGAAGTTGCTGAAGTATTTGGAAATGCCTTTTCGCACTAAAAGTGATTGGATCATGGAACACAGAGTTCTCCTCATAGTTTTGTGTGTTATGAGGGTATCCAGAAATAAGACGCATATTTAGTTCGTCTAAAATAGTACAAATAGTACATTTTCAAAGAATTCGCCTATGGTAGTCGTCAGTCAAATAACTTGTTGGTATCACAGATGGATGCAAAACTGAGGAAGATTTACCACTTCAGCGCAATACAGATTATTATCAACTGATATAGTACAGAGATATAAAAAAGAAAACCAATGTTCGTAATAACTTTGTATCCTCTTTCAATTGGAAGAACGATGGATTTATAATTGAGTAAAGTTCCCTGGCTACTGAACAGATTGATATGTAGTAACGGAATATCAGAGACAACATATCCAGTTGACTTCCTTTTACTTTATCAATCTGTGTGAGGAAGCATTTAGCCTGGAGGAAGGTCTTGAATCTTATTCTTATGTTTTATTTCCTTAAATACTAGTATGCAAACTTTACTGACTATATTCAAGTTGCATCAGATGACTCAAGTATGTGTTGAAAATCTAATTTATCCTTCACCAAAATAAGGGTCATAGTTCGATGATCACCAGCTATAGTATAATCGTCAAATAAATTAACAAACTTCTTGAAAGTAAACTTTGAGATATTACTGAAGCTGTAATTTACAAAAATCCTGTTCTCACACTAGAAAATAGTTAGATAACAACCAACAGTCTTCTAAATTCCTACTTAAGCCACTCTTCATTAGGTCAGAATATAATGCAAATGTGATTAATATGTACTTTATTTAAAACGGTTAATTGTAGGATAAGTAATCTAATAGAAAATTAACTAAATGTTCTATTATTGCACACAACATAAAATGAACACATTAAAAAGGCACAAATATTTGAACAAAGTTAGTATTCCAACTGAAAGTGATTGATCGGTTAAAAAGGCTTGATGTTTGGACAGGTGTTAGTCCAGTCTGCCAATAGAAGTTCATTTGCATAAATTGCGTTGATGCATACTATAGGAGATGTATATAAAAACAAACAAGATCAAACGGTGGTCAATCAGCTGATAAACACTTCTCAAACATCAAAACAAGTATCATTTTTGATAGACATATTTCGAATGTTAATAACAGAACTACAACTAAGCTACGATGTGTTCGCGAATGCGTGTTGTATCCACGGTATAACCAAATACATATGTCATATAAATCTGGCTATCTGCTGTAATAATTTCTATAATAATCTATCTTATTTAAACAATACTAGATAGTAGAACGCAGTCAAACCAGTATACAATGAGTAAAATCTTACAACTATGCAAACGGTGGGATCAATCAATAGAAGTAAACCAATTCAGATTAAAATTTGGTTGTTTTATCTGTGTGCACCTCAATAAAATAATGTGAATGTAGTGTTGACATCTTCATTTGAGCATTAAATTACAAAAATTAAGTTATGCATTATTAAGAATTAATAAAGTTACTATTTAACGACAACCGTGTGAAAGACGAATTATGTAGTCATGGAAAAACCGACTATATGAGAAATAAAAGTCACACATATTGTTATTGCTATCTAGTGCATATCACAAGAGATATGTGTTCGGTTGGAATTGTCATTGACTCTGAACCTTGAAGAAATATTGAAGACTCTTAGGTTTTGATGCACACTTTCATGTGGGATGACAGAAAACACGTTTGAGTATCTGGTTACTACTATACATTACTTACCATTCCATTGATTAGCCACTCGCATCTTGCAAAATGACTCAGACAGTGTATTGTCAATTGATCCAGTTGATGAAATCCATGGTATGACACTTGCTGTAATGATTTCAGTCGACGTATTCAAAGTTCTTTGATACATGAATGAGTTGATTGAAATCCATGTTTTACCCAAATCCTTACTCATTATTACACCTCCACCATTTGCTCCCAAACCGAACAATATGCCAAGTGGATTTGTGTACGCTATAATCTGTTCAACATATGGTCCGACATCTGAGAATCGAAAAGAAATCAGTCGAAACATATCTGACATTGTCTTATCAAAATAAGACTAAACAAAATTTTCGATGAACCAAAATTCATTGCAACTATTTGTTTTATGAATCTGTACAATGTATGTTTTAAAATACTAAACGTTTGTAGGTATGACTGATTAAAATACTTTATTTGTGCTACATGAACGAAAATTTCTCTTATGACCATATATATCAGTTCAAGTAGTCATGTATAATTAATAGTAAAATATGAAGAGAATGAACTGTAAATCCTCATTCCAAGTACAAATTCTGCCATAATTAGATTGCGATGTCGGTCTTTAATTTAAAACATTTGTTTTCCTTCATTATCATAATGTTTGGTTTTGTATATTATGTCTTGTAAACTGAGTCGGATGTTAAGTCGATACGTTCATGAATAATCAGTTTTGATAATTGTGATTCTATTGATTTACAATCTGGTGTCAACAAACTAAGGTAGGTTAGCACATCATGAATGTGATAAAAATGGGGCAATAAGTAGAATCGGACAGAGGTGGTAGTGAACACTCTCCTGTTACAAAGTAGTAAGCTATGATAATCAAAAGGTTGATTATTCTGAAGAAATCATCATACTTGTCGATTAATCTAAATCTTAGTTGTGTGGTATGGTGTGGACTGCTGAAGTCGACAGATGTAAGTAGTATATGTCATCAATCGAAATTGAAATGCCTGGTGGTAGAAAGTTGAGATCGAATAAAAGAGAACAAGAATAGAGGATGGTTGGAGTGGAAACGAAGAAACAATCAAGTATGAGACGATTGATTGACATTTCGCAAATGAAGTGATTATTTTCTGGTTCTCAGATTTTACTAGAATGTTCTGTAATTTTATATTGTAATGCATTTGGTTGTGCCCACTGGTGTTCTCGTTCACTACAGTTGAACGAAATAGGTTTGCATTGTGAATATATTCAGTATTGGTTTAAACATATGTTTACTTGTTATTGGTGTTTCTGTAGTTTTATAAAATTGAGAAAGGAATTGTTTGTAATTGGAATAAATGATAATTTTAATAAATATCCAATTAATTTTGAGATTTGGGTGACTAAAAGTTTTCACCAGTGTGTTGCTGAAACGGATGAGAGACTCAGTAGACACTCAACTTCGAGATCAACAGACTGGGATCCATAAGGATCGGTCGTGCAAAAAACAAATAGCTACGCTACGGATCTGTGTTGATCGATCAATTAAGTGGAACTCGTCACCATAAATCACCTTAATTGACTATGAGAAGTCGTGTGATACTGTGGATAAGAAAACCTCATGGAAACGTCTTTGACACTATGGTGTGCCTGAGAAGATCGTCCATATCATACGGAATTCATTCGACGAAATATACTGCAAAGTGGTGGACGAATGACAGCTGACAGATGCATCACAAGAGAGAATTGGTGTCAGTCGAGGCTGCTTACTCTCTCCGTATCTATTTTCTCGGTGTTTGACTGAATTATGATCACCTCGACATCTGGGGGGGAGCACAGCAAACAATGGATAGCTTGCATGCAACTAGACGATTTGCGCTTCAAACATGACCTAACCCTTCTATCACACACAGATCAACAGATGCAGATTAAACAGCCTGTGTCGCTACAGCCTATGCATTATTAGGCTTCAACATACACAAGAGACAAACCGAGATCCTCAAGTACAACACAGAGAACACCAACCCAGTTACACTTATTGAAAAGAAGGCCTGGATGTGGTTGAAAATTTCAAATACCTGTGGTCCATCTTCGATGAAAAAAGAGTAGGATTGTTCAGGACAGAATTTAATGGAGAATGGTGGTGGGTGGTCTATGCTCCGACACTACGGGTAACAGACGTAAGTATTTAGTTTTAAACTTCAAATATCCACTGTTGAATAATAAAACACAACGGATTGTTTATGATTACTTACCAAACCAAATTCTTTCAGGCAATTTACCAATCTTGAAACATCGTCTCACCAAATCTAATGAACCCTTCATACTAAACGCACGTGCACAATAAAACAAAAGATCACCAACATTTAGAAATGTATTTGCTTGACGGTCGGGCAACTGTACCAAAGGGTTTTGTATTGCAACGTAATGAGGTAAGTTGTAAGGATCTGAATGCAAAAGGTCAATACAAGACAGTGTTGTTAAATAACGCATCACAGAGTCACTGAGAATTATTTTAACTATCCCAAAAATCAATAAAATGATAGAGAATTCTTTCACAGTAATGCGATCTGACTGTAGATAAGTAACCAATGACAAACATTCCTCATGGTTATGATTGACAAAATTCGAGGTCATTTTAATAGGGGAGTATAAGAGAACTGCATATAGTTACAGTGTAAACATATTTAGCTGATACTTCTCAACAAGAGGATCAGTGTTTTTCCTTTTCATCTTTTGTTTACGATTGTACATTACTAGCAGTTTTGTATGATCAAATGAAATATCATTGTGGAAAGCCTCCAAATAATTGACAACTCTATATGAGGACTATTTCATCTTTTCTCTGAAAGCAATTAACAAGCACCTCACATTTTGAGAATGATTATGATTTCAGTAGCATGAGAAAAATTCAGTAAATCATGATGGCTTGTAAAGTTTTATTTGTATGTGTGAATACTTGATGACAGTACGATAACTCGGATGCAGTGCAAAGATTGAAATCGTTTTCACAACAGCGGAAATTCGAACGATGATAAATAGAAAGCGATTCATGTGAAGAAAGCATTTTCCACTTAAGATAACGTATCCGACATACAAGGTAAACGTATTTCCCATAATACAGTCATTCCTTGGTAGGTAGTGTTGATTCATAATCATAACATGAATTTGGAAAAATTCACGCCGATAAAACTCACAAGTGTAGTCAAGTTGAACACGCAGACGAGATTTGAACTTGTAAAACCTTTGTTTTGCGCAGCTATTCACTACGGCACTACCACGTTCATAGGGTTTGCACACAATTTCGACTAGAACTGGATATTTCACAATGGTCGTACTACGAGATGGATTAAATTTCAGACTAAAGATGACTTCATACTTTGCACCGAAATATAAACGTCCTGCCTGAAAAGAGAAAAATAACATCCTTAAGTGTTGTTTCAGAGCAAGAGTTGATATATGTTTGAAATTTATGTTTCATTTTGTGATATGAGACGATTTCAAATGATAACTAACGTAGGCAAACAAAACAAATGTAATTTACCTCCCTTATGCTTGGTGAACGGAATTGTACAAACTTTGGAAGTTTCATTGGTACAGTAAATGACAGTGAATGCTGATATTAGATCGATCTCGTGCTCTCAGTTAGGCAAATGAAACAATGTTTCGATGGATTTAAATGAGTTTGAATGTTTGACGAGAAATGCTGAAAGTATCTCACAGTAGAAACTTAAAATTTGAAATGACTGCAGTGGTTAAATATATTTCCCTAGACTTGGAATTACATGCAGCAATTAATGGTAAACAGATATGAAACATGGAAGTGAGGTGTTTTATCTGTCTCCTGTAATACCTTCACAAATACAACTTTTGTTTTAGAAAGGTAATATTTCACTTTTAAAATCGAAATTTGAAATCGGAAATGCTTGACTATGACCCAGAAGCTGGTAGAAGAAATATTATTTTTATGTAGCAATGCGGTTAATCAATGAAATCAAATGATGAAGTGCCCTTAGAATACTTCAGTGATATTGCGGAACAAAGACTACAAATCATTTATGGATAATAAAAACTTCACGACTCAGTTGACTGAACGTTTGCCATGTTCGGTTAACAGACCGAAAGGATGGAAGTTATCATTAATGCATTTAGTGTTCAATAACTATGACGCATACAGCATTTTTTTTGGTACCTTTTAGTTCATTTATTGAGTAGAGTGCTATGTAGGGAATGTAATTTTGATCGTAAATTTTATTTCAGGCATTAGATTTCAACGAGTTTGTGTTTTCCATTTGGTATGTCGCAATGCGCAACACTAGCATATTCATAGCAGATAGCTGCAGACAACTCCAAACGTCTGAGACAAAAACTAGTTACAGTTTTATTGTTCTATGAAGTACTCACTCACACCTGAGCATTTGTCGAACATTGATCACGAAACTGATAACTTTAGTTTATTCATTATGTTGATCAAGTAGAAAATGATCGCTAAAACGTTGTAATATACCTTATGGAAATAAGTAGTAATTGGTTAGTTATTTAAGATAGAAATGTTTAATTATAATGAATAACAGCGATTATATTATGTTATAAAATGATTTCTGCAAGAAACGTCTACTCTTATTTCACTGAGTGTTAACTGATCACATTTTCATTGTTTGTTTGAATCCTTCCATTGTTGATTAGAACTGCCATTGATCAGTCTCTTATTGACATGCGTGCATTCTATGGAGATTGCTTCGATATTGCCTAAAGTCACATGCATTATTAGCAGAGGTGGATGGTGGCTAGCAGTGAAATCCAAGACGAGTATTTCGTCCTACTTGAGACTCATCCTGGATGGCACTGCTAGTCACCATCTAACTTTCTGATACAACGGATTATTTAAAATATTCTTTTCTCTCTCATGTTAACTACAATAATATAACTAGCCACGCTACATCAGAACCAGGATTCACCACGCAGAATAGGAAACCAGAATAACACTAGATGATACCTCATTCAATACAGTTATAAACAGTCATACCCAGTGAATCAGGAGTAGAAATCAATAAGATTGAAAGAAATCACATATAAAAAGGATTCAGCAAAATAAAATTCCGTTCCCACACATTCATTTACTCAAACTACACATTCGTATTCATAGTTATATGGCAAATATATGTGTATAGAAGGATAGAAAAGATTTTATCATAAAGTGATTCAAGATTCGAAATACCAAATACAGTTGTGTATAACATTGTCGACTATTCAGTTACATGCATCATTACTTGGTCCTCAATTTTGTAGTACGTCAACTATCATTGATGAACTCAATATATAATCACGATACTTATAACTAGACGACTACTCGCAAAAGAACATAAGTCTCAATTATTTCATTTTCTGAAAAATCAGGATTTAGTGCAGTGTCACTCAGATAAGGCTGCACGAATTGTTCTTATGGATGTTCAGCACTATTTCACCTGAAAGTTCAGAACAAGAACATCTCCCTATGTTCTATACTTGATATGGATAAATCTCTGTACCATTTGTTTGCTAAATGGTTTGCTGACATTTTACATCCCGTGAGAAATCACATCATTAGATACAACGCTCATGTTTCGTTTGATTTTGTCGATTCAGAAATCTCATTGTAAATGGTCAAATTGTATGTCACTTCTCTCTTTACAAATGTTCCACTCACAGAAACGATGTGATTTTTATGTGACGATATTGAGATAACAACATTGATATCAGTACCCTAAAACATTATCTAGAAAAGCTATCTCGACGATGTACCCTCAATGTGCGATTCAGGTTTAGTAATCATTTCTATGGACAAACCTATGAAATTGCAATAGGTTCACCACTAGCCCCCCTTTTGACTGATTGTTTCATGGATAATCTGAAAAAGATACGGTACTTCGACCGATAGTTGAGAGAATTCATTTATCTAAGAGATGTATGGATGATAGTTTATGGTATTAGTGACTGATAATCGGTCTCATTTTGCTGCAGACACAGTCACTACCTGGTTGAATGGTATAGGGTGTAGACATCTGTTCACTGCTCCCAGGCACACTTGTTCTAATGGTCAGGCAAAACATTTCGTCAGGACATTGAAAAATGCTATTAATCCCATTATTGCTTCCACATTTGATGGACTGGAGAGGGGAGTAGACACAGTCCTACTGCAATATAGAAATGCTAAGCATTCTTTAACGAAAGAGATTCCAACAAAGCTAATAAAAGGAAGAATCCTTCGTTCGAATATAAGGCGTTTAGAGTCTCCATGTGTTACATGTTATCGTGGGAATGATCTTCGTCCAGTCATGAAAATTGTGGTGAAGAATGTTGAAAAATCTATGATTGAAATCCTAGATATCAATGATTTACGTTCACATAACCCATATGTTGATCAAATACAATTCCAGGAACCAAGTGAATCTGTTCCGATTCCGGTTTTAAAATCTGATACTAATGAGCACATACTAGAACATCCAATACACAGTCGGACAAACACATGGTGAACTTAAGCAAAAGTGAAATCGATTACAGAAAATTAGATTCCCATTTAAACTGTGGTGGTTGTGGTATTTGTACAAACTAATGATTGCTTTGTACTTGATTGCCCACTGATTATCAATTTCAAATATAATGCGTTCCCGTGGCTCAGCTTGTTCTATTTGAATTAGGTTGCTCTATTTCGGGAGTTCTTAGTTTTGCACATAAATTCGAATACTTCAGATTACCATATACTTTCATAATTTATGGAGAAAAAATGGATCTCAATGAAATTTCGGATTGGTTCAATAGTTGACGTCACTCAATTTAATTCATGTTGGAAACAGAGGCGAATGAGGAATTTCATTTTCTTGATGTCCGGTTGAATAGAACTTCATATGGTTCTTTACAGAGATCTATATTTAAAAACCGACCTGGAATGTTCGGTATACGGATTTCCATAGTTGGATCTTATTGAGTAGAAAAAGAAACTTGATTCACTCTTTGTCCTCAAGGTCTGGGTGAATGTTACATTGATGAAGTAGACGACGAACTACTTCAACTTTGACAGACACCCATCGGAAATGGTTATCCACCTAGATTAGTAGATAGGAACATAACACCAAGACATCCTAAAACCAGCACCGACAGTTCAAAAGAAAACTCTTTTTAAGAATATCGAATTTAAAGGAGATAAGGCTGCCGAAATCTTTAATATACGTGATTCAAGATCCCTGGATAAAACCTATTCAACTGGTCTGCGTTTTGTCTTCTCAAGCTGGCCTACCATTCACAGTTGTGATACGGATAAATTTCCGCTTTTGTTCATGTTGATGTTCATCTATAAATCTGTAAAGAGGACAATTTTCTTTCATATTTCTGACATGTAAATTATTCTCGTCCCTCTGTTCTTCTCTAACCCCCTGATTATTACGCACTCTCGTTTGATATTTGAAGTGTCGAATCACTCCATGATGAGAACACCATATGGCTCGGAGAATAAAACTCCACCAGAATGATCTACCTGAGTTACAAATCGTCTCCACCGTCTCAAATCCTTTTTATCCGACAGGCATATAATTACGATACAACTATAAATGTGAATGTATGACTTAAGCAAGTGATTTCGTGAAAAAGAAAACTCCTTTCGCCGAATCCTCTTTATGTTTATGCGATGACAATGAGTTGTTTCAAGAAATCACATATTTAATAGTTGGTAGGCTATGCTTGTTTGTCCACACTCAACAACCAATCATACTTCAATTCCAATATTTCACATAATCAAATTATTGTGTGGTTCATATTTGGTTCTCAATCGTTTGTCTCATATTGAGTATCTGAGACGCTTGATGCAATACTGTGATCCATCCTCCTGGCATGGTCTATTATCGATTTGTCACATTCAACTGGATAATTGTTGTAGAACTTGGTATTAAATATAGGACCGAAGAAAATCACTCGTTTCTGTTAGATCATTCTGTACAATTATCTCATGGATCACTTAAATCGAGAGAGCCAAAATGTGTATTTCTCAATATTACCAGTTATTTTTTTTCTTCAAATAATATGATTATGATAACGGTTTCACACTAGTTGATGATGATTTCATTTGCAATCAGAAAATTAATTCAATCCCTTTAAATGTTTCAACTATATTTTGAGTGAGTTAAATTGAACAAAATCATTTTCAAAATATGTCTTGAAACACAGAAACTTACTATGAACTGAACTGATTTAGATACTGGGTTTAAAGGAGTTTTCAATGTTACATTATCTATGTTGCCTGTTTGATTAACTACACTGATTGATTTTATTTCTGGACTGAGATAGAAAATTATCGATTGTCTTTCACATTCCAATCCGGTACCATTCATCATTTGAACGGTTGTCTGAAGATACACCACATCTCTGAGTATTGGATTAAACAAAATGTATAATATGTAGAGAGTTATTTCATATTAATCAGTAAAACGGTTCAAATTTTGATGATTCAATTCGCATGGTAGTTGGATTCGACACTCGGTTTTACACTCCTTCCAATCTAGTTTGATAGGATTAACTGATTACAATCAGCAGAGAAATAGCAAGAATATTTATAACTTTGCATCTAATTAGATTTCAGTATTTAATTACTTTCAGTATAGCGTAGACATGTATAGCTCGAAAAGGGTGAAATTATTAGAATTTTGCACAATAATACGATTTTTTATTGCTAACCTAATCATATAATGTCGAGTATTGTCAGAGATCTTGTAAAATGTTTTTTTAACGCCGGAGAACTACGATTAGTATTTTCTACACGCCCAATGGTTACACCGAAGCTAAAAGATGAATTACCTAGAATGACCACCTCATTTTGTATTTATCAGTTCAACTGCTCCTGTGGAGCGAGTTATATTGGTCGAAGTTCTAGGAATTTACATTTTCGTGCTCGTGAACACCTTCCAGCGTGGCTAAAAAAAGGTTTGATGAAGAAGGTGAACAGCTCAATATTGGCCCATTTAGTACAAACCGGTCATAGTGCCAGTATAAACCAATCTTTTTCAATTATTTATAAGGTAAGTAATTTCTTGCCAAAACTGATCAGACTGAAAGTTCTTCAAACGGCTGAAGCAGTAGCCATCCGGATGAAGAAACCGGAGCTTTGCGTACAGAAGAAATATATTCAACCACTCCTCCTCCCCTGGCCGACATCAAGGCTAATTAATCAATCGTAATCTTAACTATTGAATGAACTAATTTGACTATGACCTTTCATAGTCAATTGTAATTGTCCCTGTTTTCCTTATTCATAAATCTTTGTGTTATTATTATTATTATTATTCATACTATTGGTTAAAAATCATTAATCTCCACTATACATGATACATTCATTTCGCATTCACCCCTCCGTATTACGTCTTACTTATTTGATCGAATTGTAATTGCACTATTATTCCTCTCTCACCCTATTTGACCCATATTTATTTTGATCATGGATCTTAAAATTTTAGTTAACATATAAGCTGATTCAAGTTAACATTCTATATGTCATATCAACATTAACAATTTTATTGTATTTTGTTTATCACAATCCTAAATTCACATGCTCTAAACGATGTACTTTGCCCTTAACCTGGCCATTTTTTTCGGATTATTAATTTGGATAGATAATTGTAGAACCTGAAGAGAAATTATCGAAAAGAATATTCTTCGTTCAAATACTAATCTTTTAATAATGAATTATTTTTCTTAAATTCGAAGAGAATTATTTTTGCTGTTGATGTAAACGAGTGAGTAGTTCCATCAGTTAAATGTTCCCAGCTGACTGTTCATTGTGTATCATAGAAAACATGATAACATTAGATCATTTTGTTGAAATTAAATCAAATCCAGTAACTGTTGGAAGTATGACGAAGAACAATGTCAAATTTCTGTCTTCTTCATTGCTCCATTTTTTTCACTTTACATTGAAAGTGAGTTTAGTTGGTTCGAGGTAAATGGTAATGAATAAAAAGCACAAATGATTTCATGAGAGTTTTGAGAAACAACTATATCACCTTCCATCCTTAAATATTGTCTTTGACAGATCGATTGACTTAACAAAAGTCAATATGTTTTGTGCTGAGATAAGTGGACGATAATTCAAGTACGATTTTCACCGGCTTTCGGACGCTTTTAATAGCAAAACTGATTTAAGCTTAATAGTTATGATTTACTTTATAGTCTGAAGATTAAAAAAAATACTTAGTCATGTTCATGTTCATGTTCACGAGACTGGCAACAAGGTTTTTAGAAAAATAAAAGTATTGACCAAAATCATTGTATAATTATTTGTCAGTAATTCCTCAAAACACATTTAATAAACACAGAGACTTATCTGAAATAAAATTCTATAATTTACAGCTCAGTTAAGTAGTTACCTACGCTACCCTGGTTTGATAAATGAAAAGATAGACACTTCTTTGGAAACTGATTTGTCAAGAGTCAGCTAATGGGATTATATCGTTTCTTTTCTACATGGGTTATTTGAGTCCAGCACAAGTTTATATTTCTGACTTTGTGTCCGAGACTTGTTGTGGATAAACAGGATACACAATGATGGTGATTGACCTATAGATTTGAAATTTATAACTCAGATGAACAATCTGTACTACAACTCAACAGCCACATCTGTTTAAGACACCAATTATATGTTTAAACAGTGTTTCAATTGATGGATGCTTAAACGAGTTGTGTGTCTGGTTTTAATGTGTTATGAGAAAGGTTTGCAAGAAAATTTATCACCGAGAATATTAACACAACGAGGTTTGAAACCAATTTAAGAAAGAAATAAAACTTATTCATTCGGTCACTTGAATTTGGGCATGATATTTGTATTGATTGTTGGATAACATACAGATCTTCAAACTCTTTGTTCAAGACCAAAGTTTGTACTCTTCATGTGAATAGTCATCAGCGTAATCGTTGATATGGAACATTATTATGGGCATTTGGACACTATCTGAACAATACATTGACTGTTTTATATAAAATTGATATTCAAATGATAAATGAATTCGCGTTAGAAGTGAACCAACTATTCCATGAAATAAGTATATACTAAAGGTCAGAACGACTTAAACATACCTATCAGGATAATCACTGAATGTGAACGATGACAGTTGAGATAGTACAACCTGAATTGATGGTTTTTCTGACCCTGTTCTTATACAATATACAGATATTTTGCTAATATTAGTGACAACATTGAATCGACCAGTGATTTGCAACGGCCAAACAGTTCCGTTTTCTACAATTTTACTATCACTCAACTGGATATCCACTGAAAGACTGAGAGCGTTTTGCATTGAGGGTGCACTTACCGTACCTTAAAAAGATAGTGGTGACAAACAACAAATCAATTTATTTTATTCCACTTCACAAAATGACAATGATTTTGCTTACTTCTTCATGAAATATCTCGGTTACTGTTTGGTAATAACATTCAATACAGAACATTTTCATTGTTTACACACAGAAATAATTTATCTCGCTGTCTTCGTTACTGTAATGTAAAGCTGAGATGACTTTTTTTATATAAAGTTTCCTCAAGGTTTGGGCCATATCCATGAATGTTTAACAACATTCTTCAGATTGGAGAGAAATTAAAGGACAGTATTCAGTTTACTGCTTATCTGGTGTTTATTAGTTAAAACATGTATGAAGTCAGATTTTTTCGACTCTGAGGTTAATTACTACTTACTTACGTACGCCTGTTACTCCCAATGGAGCATAGGCAGCCGACCAGCATTCCCCAACCCGCTCTGTCCTGGGCCTCCTTTTCTAATTCCATCCAATTCTTGTTCATCTTTTTCATGTCTATTTCCATTTCTCGGCGTAATGTGTTCTTTGGTCTTCCTCTTTTCCTTTGGCCTTGAGGATTCCATGTGAGGGCTTATCTTGTGATGCATTTGGGTGCTTTCCTCAATGTGTGTCCTATCCACTTCCAGCGCTTCTTTCTGATTTCTTCCTCCGCTGGGATCTGGTTTGTTCTCTCCCACAGTACGTTGTTGCTAATAGTGTCCGGCCAACGGATCTGAAGTATTTTGCGTAGACAACTGTTAATAAACACCTGTATCTTCTGGATGATGGCTTTCGTAGTTCTTTAGGTTTCCGCCGCATACAGTAGAACTGTCTTGACATTTGTATTGAAAATCCTGATCTTGGTGTTGGTTGACAGTTGCTTTGAGTTCCAGATGTTCTTCAGTTGTAAATATGCTGCTCTTGCTTTGCCGATCCGCGCCTTCACATCTGCATCAGATCCACCCTGTTCATCAATGATGCTGCCCAAATATGTAAAGGTTTTTACATCTTCCAAATCTTCTCCGTCAATTGTGATTGGATCGGTGCATGCTGTGTTGTATCGGAGAATCTTTCTCTTCCCTTTGTGTATATTGAGACCTATTGCTGCTGAGACTGCTGCTACACTGTTCGTTTTCTCCTGCATTTGTTGTTGCGTTTGGGATAGAAGGGTCAGATCATCTGCGAAGTCCAGATCGTCCAACTGCATCCTAGATATCCACTGTATCCCGTGCTTCCCTTCAGATGTTGACGTCTTCATGATCCAGTTGATCACCAGGAGAAAGAGAAAGGGTGAGAGTAAGCAACCTTGCCTAACACCGGTCTTCACTTCGAACGACTTTGTCAACTGTCTTCCATGCACGATTTTGCAGTGTAATCCATCATATGAACTCTGTATGATATTGAATATCTTCTGAGGCACGCCGTAGTGTCGAACAAGATTCCATAGTGTTGTTCTGTCCACGCTATCAAATGCCTTTTCGTAGTCAATGAAATTGATGTAGAGTGATGAATTCCATTCCATTGATTGTTCCACAATGATCCGTAGTGTTTCAATTTGGTCTGTACACGCTGTGAGGTAGGCTATTGAAAATTACAGGATGAAATAAAGATCGAAATTTTAAGGAAAACAGTAAGCTAGTGTTAGTGTTATTATGTCAAATTTTATTCCAAAATACATCAACATATTTCACAGTTTTTAATCATGTGTATCAGTTATATTTTTAGAGATATTTTCTTGCCTAACTTTGATCTTGTACACTGGTGTGGTGTATGACACTTATGTCTGTTGACATAATTAATGTGTAACACCAGTCAGAAGTGGTATGGCTGACAGCCGAAGGTTGAGAAGATCGAATTGAAGAGAATGAGAATGTAGAGAAAGAGAGATTGTAATAGCAATGAAAGAACGATGGAGTTCGTTCACTAATCTAGTAATATTCCATTCGACTTTCGTTGTAAAGATAATTCGGTCTTGAAGTGGTAAGGAAAATATCATACACCTATTCTCATTTGTCATCTAAAGTAATATTCTTGTAAAATGTTTTAACTGCAAGAGAAGTTGCAGAATACTATCCGTTAAGAATAAACATATTTCGCTCAAATTGACAAGTGTGATACTCAAGATATTTCATGAATTAATAAACATATCTATGATATTGAATTTTTTTAGTGTAAGTAATGACAGTTACCCAAGAAATAAACACTGATGAACAGATGAACTGTAACTCACCAATGTTTGTGATATTTTCGAAGTATATTGACAACTGATCATTTTGATCGGTTGAATAAGTGGACAAATAATTAGATGAGTAATCAGTTGTTGTGTAGAATATGTTAGAACCCAAACTTATATTAAAATCTGAAATAGTTATTATAGATTCATTAGTGTTGTTGCTTCCAGTTCCACTGATTTGTATTGTAGATTTCAGATAGGTGGAGTTCAATGGGAATATATATTTCACATTGATAGTTGTTATTTGACCTGGCTGCAGCGTTACACTAGATGGACTTACTTCAATCATAATCTGAAATGAAATATTCTAAGCTTTAATCTAACAAAACTTGTTGACTGTTATTTAAGGTACAAATTTTGCTTGCAGTAAAAAGACAATTTCAAAATGGCGACGCTTTGTCTAACGTTCTTTTAATAAAACACTATGTTTAACTACATCTCTGTTGATATACAATAGTGCGACAACGAAACTGGTATATTGAGATAAATGATGATCTCAAGAATGTATAGAGCCTAAATAAATATAATTCATGTACGTATTCAGAGGTGAATATCTTTACCCGGATGGATACAAGCTTGGAATGAACGTTTTCAGTGCATAATCCACTGATCACAGATTTCTGACCGTTGCATCTGATATCAGACACAAACTTGAAGTACTATGTGATTTTTGTGGTTTGTTCAATATCTCAGCCTAGGTTTATGCATAGAAATTTAATTTCAAATAATATCAATGCATTTAAGACGAATAAGTGGAAATTACAAGGCGAGTCTATTTTCTGACTGTTAAAATTCATCGTTAGAATTCATGGAGTTAACCTTCAACCAATTAATGTAGTTTAGAAGGATTTTTGATCATTCTCAGTGATAGTTTATAGAGAAATGTTATAGTAATTCATCAGTTTTACGTTGAAAAGTATACTTTGATTACTTTGCTTATATATTGGGTGATCGAGAAGTAATATATGCTTTCTCTACTCAGTTGATAGTATTTTGCCAGTTATTATGTGCTTCATTCGTATTTTACTGTTTAACATGATATACAGTGATTGTTCTGTACTTCATGGTCTGTGTTGTCCTTAAATAGTTTAATCAATTTATGTTAATATAGAACTACCATTCACAAGTTTTGTTCAATGGATGATCTTACAAATTCTGTACATCTGTTTGTTATGTAGTATAAATCCCATCTTTAATGATCGTAAAATGTCACTGTAAACTTCATAGTTTAGTGTAATTGATTTTCTGAGACGAGTATTCTTCGAAAAATACAAGTGACTTGTCGTTTCGATTAATTGGAATAACCTTAATCAATATTGAAACACACACATTGTCTTTGTTCATTTCGAATATGAACAACAAACAGAAAACTGAACAATATTGTTTTCAATTGGTTCGTTATCAGACTTAGCTCTAATATGCAGTTCTATTTATATGAAAGTTAATTCTGATGAAAATCTAATCGTAAACAACATTGTGCGGTTTTATTTTTGTTTTTCTAATTTACATTATGAGAATTCTCAACCATTTATTTTGAAGCTGATTTGAATATCTGTTAGTTACGATCAGGATGTTCAAGTTTTATGCTTTTATCAAATATGTACCGATGGATACCGTTTTTCGATACATATTTCCTTTAAGAGATTCATTTGATTATCTATAACTTCAGGACTAAATATTCTTTGTATCCGTGTGGCGAAGAATATCATCAAAAATATGTGCTTTGCTTAAACTTTACAAACCTGTATTACCCCTCCGAATAGTTCTTCATGGGTTCGGATCCTTTTACTACGCTATAGCAAAATGATTGAGAGATTGCCTGCAACTCATAGGAAAACATATTTGTATGCATTCCTTACATGACACTCCCGAATTTATTGATTACATACAATAAGTGAATATAAATGACCAACTTATCCTTTTATTTGTTGTTCAATTAGCATTCATCAATTTCCTACTCACAAAGACTATTTGCTTTATAAATGATCATGGGATTAATATCGCACTATAAAAATTTTACTAAAAGGAATTAATATTACGATGCACTTTTGATGTACACTTTACATTCAGCGACGTAATTTATAGACTAAAAATTGCACAGGAATGGGATCCTCTCTTGACCGATTACTAGCAGATTGTGTCCAATCTGGAGAACAATAAACTTAAAGCAACTATTGACAACTCCCACTAATATAAAAGGTATGTGTTTGATATCTTTATCATTTGCAACAATAAATATTATTTGATTATTCATCTTCTGCGAACATTTGATTGCTAGCACACAGCAACAAATTTCACACTAGAAGTCGAAATTAAACAAAGTATTCACTCTCTTGATATCATAGTGACAGTAAATCATGAAGAAACTGTAAGAAGATCTATTTACTAGAAACCTTCCTGAAATGGTCAGCTATAAAGCTTTCACGTCGGGATCCACATAAGTTGAAATCGATACTAAATCATACACCTAGCCACACGAAAATTTAGTTTGTTGTCTCGAGTTCATAGATAACGAAGTGAACCACCTAAAGAGGATAATTATTGAAAACTTATCGACATTGGTATTTATTGATACGAACATAAAACTCAAACCTCCTAAAACACAACTAGCCTCCTTACCAAAGAAAACTCGTTATACGAAGATTGACTTCAAAGGTGATATAGCTACAGACATCCTGAAGAAGGTAATTCCCGACTCTCTCAGCAGAATATTCATCGAAATAACTTTGTGACTAGTGTTCTCTAACCGACCAATGTTCATTAACAATCTCAAAGACAAATTATCACATTCAACTAATTCCATTGCTGTCTATCAATTTACTTGTTCATGTGGAGCCATGTATTTGGGTCGTCCGATGCGTATTTCATTCAAAAGAATTCAAGAACACTGTCTGAAAAGAGGCGAGAATGGCTTAATAAGAAGCTCAGCAATTGAACATTTTGTGAACACAGGTCGTTCAATGCAAATTGACTCTGCTTTCAAAGTTATTTGCAAAATAAGTGGAAAGCTGTCAGAGACAGTTGTATTTCCATTGCAGAAACATCTGCTGTGTATGTGTGTGTACCATGACCTTAATCTCTCGTGACCTTTTATTCGTTCCTTCTTTCATGTTAATCTACTTCACTTCTATCTTCACTGCAAACCCTTGATTTTTTCTGCTTCCATGATCCTACTAAATACAATTCATCTCAATTTCAGCATTTTATCTTATCATGCTGAGATTTCCCTATCCATCATAATTTATTTATTTATCTTCATGATGAATATTCAAGGTTTCACCAAACGTATTATTATTATTTTTCTTTAGTAAAAAATATGTTTATTACACCGCACTGTTACCACGTTCGGCAAAATTTTATTATCACTATTATTGTAATGATGATCACTTTGAAAAATAAGTAAATGTTTGCGGTTGTACAGCTTTGGAAATGAATTCGCCCAAAACAGAACCCTTATCTAAACCAATGCTCCCTATTTTATAGTTATCATTAATGGACTTGCAAAACTAAGATTCTATTTTATTGGATTATCTGTAGATTTGTCTTCGCATTATGTAATAATTTTACGTAAAACATAACTAAATCGGAACTGTGTAAAACAAATAGAAATAGGAAAATGTTTGAGTAATAACAAGAAGTTGAAATGATTTCTAATTCAATTATAGCTTACGTTGGTGTATATTGGGAAACTTGGTATTGGACTCAATACCAAAGCCTGGCCGGTAAAATTGTTTGTACTCCCACTGATATTAACAAATGTTGGGAAAGTGTAGTTTATTGTCGTTGTCGCATTGCAATCTCCCGTTAAATAAACAGTATTTTTAAATTGTAACTACACAATAAAATAGAATGACACTTTTATGGTGTAAGAAAATAATGAAAAACAGAAAAAATGGTTGATTACAGTGTTGTATTGATTTCTTATATCATCAACATATCAACGTTGTATTCGAAGAATTATCTTACTGCTTAAGCGTCGTATCAATAGGCCAAATGTCAGGATTAACATAAATTATGTCTCTTCCATTGATGATCAGTAGGTGAGTAACAATTTCATGAATTTCGTGAATGAATAAATAAATCCGTCTTCCAGAAAATTGACAGGAATTTAATGTGAATATTAAAACGTAAAATAACCGATCATAAATACATACGTCATGCCAACAATTTGGATTTGAAATCTAAAAGTGACCTAAACTAATATTTTGTCACTACCACTCAGTGTTTTCGTTATCATAAAAGTCAAATATGTTTTTATTTGTAGGTAGCCTTATTACTTGACACTTTTACTACAAAGATACTTTATTTATATTTTGTCTAATTATAGAAAATGCCAATAATTACGTTGCGAATTTCGGCAGAAAACCTTGAAATATTCCAATAACGTGTATCTCACTAAGATAAAGACGAATGACTCGATCATTATATATAACAGTTATAGTTACTACATTTGTTATCAGCAAAATAACGAATACACTAGGATTCAAGGAATGATTGACATTCACCATATCATCTCAGAATGTAATCATCATCAAATACCTGTAAAATAACTGAGCTCATTTTGATGTTTACTATATTCGTCTTCAGATTGGCAGTTGCATGCCTACCATGGTCTTCGAACGGCCTAACGAATCATCAGTAGTGAAAATAATACTGACAATAATGGAGTTGACAACACTAATCAACATTTTACCTTCTGGTGTTCAACTGAACGTTGATTCTGATTAACTCTGGGATAGACGTTTAGATTTGAGGGTAGTGAGAAATCCTCACTATCAAAGCTACTGAGGATGTTTAGACATACACATTGAAAGTGAAATCTAGGCCGTGTTAATTTTGATTGGATTTGCAATGTAAACTTTGACTTGTATATCTGTTACTAACTACACTTAAATTAGTTACTTTTTTTTCTTCTGTTGTTTGTGACAAAAATTCGTGTAACTACGTTTCATGAAGTTTTTAAGTTTTTGATCGAAACTACTTATTGCATTCCGTTAGATTACCATTAACAACTCGAAAATTAGTTTTAATGAATTTTACTATAATTGTGTAAGGGATCAAGCATGTTTATTTTCAATTTTTATCTAAGAACACAATCCTGACACAGTTTTATCTGCACATAGTGTACAACAGAATACTTACTATTTTGTAGACTTACACAATAAAAATTTTGATTGATGGTGCATACTGGGCCGTAATCCACTCTCGCATAACTGAAGAAAATAATTAAAAATCATTTATTTTATGGTTTGTTTGTGCATGTTAGAGGAGTAATGGAGTGCGTTACCAATTGAATCGGTAAGCACAAAAGTCATACTAATGATGAACATAAATGTATTTTTTAGTATGATATTAACAGAGTAACGATATAGTCGATTACAGAAAAAGTGTGAACCAAATGATCTCTCTTATTTAAACTGTAATAATTAATATAGACATCATATAGAGATAGAATCACTATGATATAATTTGGCGTTTCAACTTTCTAGGCATATGTTTACGTTAAATTCACTGAAATCTTGTTTCACTTAAATCATGAACTGAACAACGTAAGAACACCATTCGAATTCTGAATTGCCATTTCTCCGCAGTATGAGACTCCTCACCAGTTCGCTTTATGTGTACTGCTTTCACGTTTTCAATGATGGTCTAACATTGATCAGTTCATGATTTTAATGAAATTCAGAAATCTCTACAACCATATACTAACATCTAAATCATGTGGTACACGTCATTTTAAAGACGTGCATATGTGGTCATAGACGAGTAAATTTCTATCACTATATTATCACATCAACTGGTTTATCAGGTTCTCAGTTATTTCATAGCAACATTCTGTTAATGTTTGAAATTGGATAACTTTTAATATTTATCTATGTACTCATGTTTGAGTAGAGTTAAAAATGACCATTTTGATGTTTAGAAAATGCCGATTAGAGAGAAGTAATTCTTTTTTAACTCTCTCTTTTTCATTATGACTGTACATTGTTTTACATTTTTACCCGATCAGTTCCCTTAACAAATTTAAATGAAGCAAGAACTAAATTAAATGGATAATTTCATGAATTCATCATTGAATTTTACTGCTTCCTCTTCCTCTGTATGAATGAACTGGTTTAGTGGTCTTCAATTACTGACATAAATTGAAATGTGAAAAAATGAATTGCTCTGATGTAAAAAATGGGCCAAATCGAACACAAGATTACTGACTCATAAGTATTAATAGATTGTTTTACTACTTATTGCCTTGTGAAATTAAAGTGATAAATATTTAGCACATTTAATTACGATGTAAATCATGTCAAACGTAAGTATTCAGCTCCAGCTATTCAACTAAATCCCTTTCTCGATTTACCAGTATAATTCTTATCTAGATCTCTTGAGTTTTTTTCTGATAATTTCACACAATTCATTTTCGATCACTGAAAGTAAGTGTGTACATTTATGGAACGCTAGTCTAGTTACAGTAGCATATAAAACAATTATTGAACAATGTAGAACTTAAGTAGTTTAAACTAACCTACGTTCAGATGTCAATTTTACAGAGAACGCGGTTAATAACCGCACATCTGGAGCAGCTTTAAATAGATCTACTTTTGTAACATTAAGAACTGCACTACCATTCACAATTCTGTTGATCCAATACGTAAATAATGAACAACGTCTTTCAACCGGACACATAGTCAATGCAAATTCAAATGGTCCTCCAGTACACATTTGTTTATATGCATCAGTGGCACTTGGAGAAATTAAAGTCCAAGTATTTGTAAGAGTTGTAGTAAATGCCTATGTTTAAAAAATATCAAGACTGACATTACCACGTTGTATGAAAAGAGTTACACAATTAGCAAGAAAATGTTTTATAATCCCGAATTTAATAATTGCTTGGCAAAATCACAAATCAATATAGATTTTCTTCACTCATACAATTATGTACTGTACTAATTCAATAATAAGTTTCTCAGCTTAGTATCTGAAAAAGAAAAACTGCATGCACAACATGTTAAATTTCAACAAAAACATAAGATTAATGTATTCATAAATGTATATTCAACTGATATTTTAGATCAACATAAACATGAATGTCAATTACTTACAATTAATTAAAATCATAAACCGATCGATGTTAGATCACAATTGTAAACCTGTGTGCATTGGACAGCCATTCGGTCCTAGTATGGGACTCCTCAGCAGTGCGTATCCACGATCTTGCAAGCGAGATTAATGTATAACTTCAACCAATACAAAATGTTGCGCGACCATCTTCCATTGTATTCTCTGAGTAACTCTCTCACACATAACAAGATTAGACATTAGCATTGTTGGATGCCCGCTCGGTGGTTTAGAGGGTGAGCGTTCTCACGCGAGAAAGTAGGTTCTGTGTTCGAGTCCTGCGTGCGAGTTCATGGAGACACACTGCTGAAGAGTCGAGTAATAGGATGAATCGGCTATCCAATGCCTACATGTTTTCAATTGTGGTCCAACATCGGTCGATTAATAATCTCGATAAAAACTCAACAATCTCCACGACCTTATACTGATAATTACAATTAGTTAGAAAATAGTGTCTTTTTTTTTTAGCAAATAAATCCTAATTTAAACCATCTTTCAAACCAAAGAAGATTATATGAACTTAAGTTAATATGTCATTTTCCAATGTCATTTTCTGTCAAGTATATCCTCTAAAACCTGGAAATTGTTTTCATATCTTTCTTCAGATGAAAAAATTCAATGTCATTTTTTTAAAAACCATTAACATCATCTGCATGAATGCAATAGAAAAGGAGATATAAAGTGTTTTTTAACGAATATCATCAGGTGTCAAGTATACTTTGATAGTGGTTTCAAATGTATTACCAATTAATTGTTTACGATAACATTTTAATTTCATGAACATATACTTTACAACTATGAAATGGCTAATCCCGGTGATCCCACTATTTTCACGTCATATAGATCAAAACTAAAATTCAACAAGTAGACAGTATACAGTTTCACATCAATAATGAGTTTAAGTAAAGTGACCCAATTTAAGTGAGCCACTTTTATGGAGAAAATAAAGCTTAACTTTCTTCCAGTTTCTTGCTCTGAAGTCGTTTTTTTCGTGGACTCATTAGTATTGTAGTACTTTATGTTAGAAACTTGCTATCTATGATAGAACACTTCCATTTGATACAAAACTTATTGAAAATTACTAACTAGTAAGAACATTGAAAGATACGTTTATTTCACTTCATTAAAAATCCTGAAGGTACTAGACATGAGTAAACTTCTGTTTCCTAAAGTGATACTTACTAATATTCTGATACACTGAATTAATTATCTCATTATAAAAAATTCAGATAACTAGGTAGAATTTATTTGTGTCTATTATCAGTTAAAGTCCATTAAACTCACTTTATATGAAGTTATAGTTAATACATTCATGGTTTTCAAGCCGTGACTTTCAGGAGAACTCATAACTATGTCGCATCAGTGTTTTATATGAATGATTCGTTTAACCTTTGATTTCATTCATCATACAAAGACGGTCAATGTCATAGAGTAACCCTGGGCAGTAACTAAACGAACTGATAATCAAACCCTGCCAACGAAACGTTTTAGCAATATTTCCTTCGACGAACAAGTTTATCATAGCAACACAGCCTATTTGTCTCTGTTTCACAAAAGTAATGGACTGATTTTATGAAATAATAACTTTTATGATACAATATTCTTTTTTTCTAGTTTTTCTTATAACTTGTATAATCCACATGTTTTCAATTGAGGCTTCATTTAGGTTTGAGACATCTAATGTCAAAACGCTAATTTGCAGTTTCATAAGTGACTAATAATGGAAACACCATTTAGCTGTCAAGAGTACTCACCCATCCCAAACATGAATAAAGCTTTATTAATTCATGATCACCGAATGGCGAAACTGTAGACGATTATTATAATGGATGAATGGAACTGAGAAACAACAAGTGTTTAGTACTAACTTAAACATACAAAAGTTCTGTTGTTTCAATAATGAGCAAGTCCAAGATTTTACGGAAAATAGTGATGATTTTAAAATACTAGATGACATTTGAGAACCATTTCTTAAGCCAATGTCTTAACACTGTGACATTGATTGAATTTTCATCACTAAAACAGGAGTAAAAACCTAAGATAGTTCTTCAAAGGAAACCTTAGTGGTAGAACGGCATAAGAATGGAGCGGATTATCGTTCATGTGAAGGTCAATATATGTTAAACTACTGAAGGCAAACGTCTTCATGAGTAACTCTTCCTGTTACAAATTAGTTCATTGGTGTGGAAACTAGGTGAAACCACTTGATTAAGGACTGATCGCGTACAGCTTGGAGAACAATCTCAGGTTTCCGGAAGTAACAAATTAGGTTAATATGTAAGACATTTCACACTTCTGACGTTTCGTTACGATCTATTGACATTACTTCATTTGGAATTGTTTTTTCGAACGTTTCTATTGATGTTTAGGACTGCAAATGATCAGTCTCTTGTTGACAGATGTGCATCCTGTACGGATTGTCTTGATATTTACTTAATTCACAAACATTATAAGCAAAGACGTATGGTGGCTGGCAGTGGAATCCAGGACGTGTGTTTAGTACACGTCAGCTGGATGTTAATGCATCCCATATTAGATGCAGATACATCGAGCTGACGTGTGCCAAACAGAACTAAAAGCGCGTCCTGGATTCTAATGCTAGCCACCATCCATATTAGCTTATTAACATTACTAATGAAAATATTTGACATAATTATACACAATTTTTGATCTATAGATATATTCTAGGCACCATTCACTGAGTTGTTAAGTCTATGACTTAATACATCCATTTTTAGTTCACCAATGAGACGGACCGTCTAGAACCTGTGTATTTATTAGTTAACATTTGAGATGAGTTATTGCTCAGGTTTTCCTTGTGAAACTAAGAAAAACAAAATTACGGCATTGTACGCATGATATGATGATGATGATAATTTCATATTTCATTGCGAGATAAAAGTATAGAAATATTCTACTGAAATGTTATAGTAGGGCTCAATTTAATATGGAAGCGAGAACTGAGAATGTAAAAAATGATTTAGCGTAATATCAGCGTATTCTGCTCAAATTATTCATAAACCTGTTAAACTTGTTACAATGTTGTCAGGGAAAATAATGATTGTCCTCTGATGGATGGTTTATCTTTTATTCCCATATATGTTATTACCTTGAACTAATTAGACTTATTAACTTGCATTTAGCTGAGGTGAAAAACGAAATACAATTCATATTATATTCTGCCAGTTATAAATTGAACCGAACGAACAGCAGAAGAACTTAATAATGGAATTACCGGCCATTTGAGAAGATCCTCTAGTGTGAATAACGATTTTATGCCAGAATTCAGTACTGATTGTGTTTGACGAACTATCAGCATCTACTTACAACCACAGATAAGTGGTATCCTCAAATCTGTCTTTTCTTAAAATGCCTCAATAAAACCTAAAAATACATAATTAATATGTAGTTTATCACACGTAGATAAAAGTTTTATCGAGTCTACGTAACCAAAACATCAGGGTCTTGCTTGAAAATAACACTTTAACCATTGTATACGGATTTTATTAAATAATGTAAATAAGTCAAGTAACAAAATTATCTAAACGTAGTTTGAAGCAAGTTGAATGAAAATGAGTAATCTGACTTACTGCTGGAGTGGTGGTAGTAAATATGAAATTACCAAATATAGAGATTGAATTGACCGTCAAACTGTAAGTGAAATTAACCAGTGGTCTGACAGAATTCGCAGTGAACAATGGGATATAGTAAGTTAACTGATTTGCTGCCGAAGTCGTTTGATCGGTTGCAATTCCTATAAACGTAAAATATAAATTGACAGTCTAATTTCCTAATGAGGCAAATTTGAATGCTTGAATTTCTACAACTATCAATTTATTACATCTTTGTGCATCAACTGTCAGAACAGATTGTAATAATAAGTAAAATAACATGAGGAAATAAGAAAGTTTGTCTAAGCACCATGTATAAAAATGGAATTGAGTTGAATATTAGGAAGATGGATATCATCTACCAACTTAGCTGGACGATTTCAAACAAGTACTTATTTACTTACCTACTTACTTACACCTGCTATCACACATGAAGAAGTATTGGTCATCAACCAGCATTCTCTATCCAACTCTGTCCTGGACGATCCTTCTCAACACTTTCTGATTGCTACTCATTCTTTTCATCTTTGCTTCCGATTTCCAACATCGTGTGTTATTCTGCCTTCCACTTTTCCTCTTCCCCTCGGGATTCCAAGTTGACACTTGTCCCGTGATGCAGTCTGATGATTTCCCCAATGACTGTACTATCCACTTCCATCGTCTTTCCATAATTTCCTATTCAATTGAAAATTGGTTTGTCCTCTCCAACAGTAGACTAGTGCTGAAAGTATCCGGTCAACAGACATTGAGTATCTTACGTAGACAATTGTTTATAATTACTTGTAGTAGTTTTCCAAGTTTCAGCTCCGTACAACAGAACAAACGTTTTTGACATTCGCATTGAAGATTGTTTGTTTGGTATTGGCTGAGAGTTGTTCTGAGTCCTACATGTTCTTCAATTGTAGGAATGTTATCCTTACTTTGCCAATCCTCGCCTTTACGTCTGCATCCAACCCTCCTTGTTCATTGATGATACTTCCTAGGTACGTAAGAGAGTAAGCAGCCTTGTCTTCCTCCGTTCCTCAATTGTGATGCATCTGTCAGCTGTCATACGTGCACCGCTTTGCACTGTAGCCCATCGGATGAATTGCGTATGATATAGAAGATCTTGTCAAGTACACCATAGTGTCGGAAAAGTTTATATAAAGTCCTCCTATCCACAATGTCGAACACTTCGTCATAGTCAAGGAAGTAGATATACAGTGACGAGTTCCAATTGATTGATTGCTCAACGACGGTCCGTAGTGTCGCGATTTGGCTTATGCACGACCAACTCTCGAGATATCCAGTCTGTGGATCTCGAAGCTGGACGTCCACTGAATCCTTCATTCATTCGAGCAGCACTCTGTTGAAAACGTTTCTTGGCACCGATAGTAGTGTGATTTCTCTGCAGTCCCAAGATTTACTCAGATCTTCTTTCTTTTGTATCTTGATAAGGTGTCTTTCCAGTATGCCAGGGGCACCTATTCCTCCTCCAAAATCTTCCTGAATAGAATGTGGCACATGTTTGCAGTAACTTCTATGTCTATAGGAAGGTTCGTGTGTGCTGTTTCAATGTCCGTTGGATCCAGTGGAGCTGGCTTACTCAAAAGTTTCTCAAAGTGTTCTGCCCATCTGTTCCTCCGTTCTTAAATCTCGGTGATTGTCTTGCTACTCTTAAAACTGTTCTTTGTCATGCTCGTTGCTATCATTAGTGGGTGCATAACACTGGATAATATTCATTGTGATTTCATACTTCTTGTTTTGAAGGATGCTTTGATGATTCTGGATCCATGAGATTCCCATCCTATAAGTACATTTCATGCCTCACTGGACAGCATCACTGAAACTCCCTGGGTGTTAAGAGAATTTACCTCTTCATAATCAGAGTATAGCAGCATCTCACTCGTGTCTATCTTATTCTGTGCGGATTGAATATAGTGGGCTTCACTGATTTCGAGAACAGTTAAGTTGTATTTCTTCATTTCCACAGCTATTTGAATAATCTTCTCGGTTTCCCACATTGTCCGGACGTTCCGTGTACCTATAAAAATTGTTGCTGTTGTTTTTAGAATGAGCATCGGTCTCATGACTTTCGAAGAATCTCGGCCTTCACCACTAGGCTTCATAGTTCTTCTGAGTGAAGATACTTCAACTCGGAGAGCAGAGTTATATTAGTTTAATTTGTCCATTAGCGTTTGTTTTCATAAGGTTGTTTTCTACGGGATAAGGTTGCCAACAATGATTGGTCAATACAAATAAAACAGAAGTGGTATGAAGTTTCTCAAGAACGTTCACTTTAAGTACTGACTAAACTGAGTCTATTATATCAGTTTTATGACTCATCATCATTATTTCAAATAAACTATTTCTATGTTAAACCAGATAATAAGTCTTTTAAGATTAGTTAAAGTAGGTCAGTATAAATAATTTTCAGTTGGAATAATTCAAACTAATCTCGATATAGGAATGTCAGTGGGAATATCAATTAATTCTTTCTGGATAAGTTTCAAACTAGCAGAGCACTGTAAACTGCAAGCTTAATACTATCGTGTTCATAAATTCACAGCTTGATGAAGAGACTCTGACAAAATTATTTTCTGCGTTCCACAGATATTGATGGTTTTTGAGACTTAGATGAATTTTGTTCTCTCTGGAACAATAAATTTAAGGAATGGTAGACTCGATCGCAGACACTAATTACAATTATAAATATGGTCAGATGATTAACTATGGAGATATCTTTTTCACAGAAATATCTATATAAGTGTTTCAACGAAAAGAGTAGACATAGGAAATTATCTTGGTTTACTGGCGAACCGTCACTACTTTCTTGGAATTTTTGAACTGAGTTGAAATCGATTTACTTTCACTAGATTATTAACGGAGGGAAACACGTTCTGCAAATTAAATATTTCAGTGTCTTGATAAATGTACTTTATTATCAATGTTTATTATCAATCAAAAATTAAAATTTTATGGGGAAATGATTCAATGCATATAGTTTAAATGAAACGGTGAGCTGAATAGATTAACACTGAAGGAAACAATCTACATCCATTGTTTTGATGAAATTATAACAAAATTCAGGGGGATTAATATGAAAGTGCAACCACATTGATAGGAGTGTGCATATGTAGTAAGATTAGAAAATGTGAACATTATTGAATAAGTAATAAAACACTATTAACTGACGAGAAATCAGCTTGAAGACTGCCGTTACATTAATCGGTGGCCTTATTAAATACAGAGAAAAGGATTCGTCTATAAACTTGTTCACTAATGAGAGATAGTGTATTAGTAATCATATTATTACCGACCACTATTAGTAAAACAGTGCAGTAAATGTTAACAAACCTTCGTAATAAGCTTTATCTATTCTGACATTAGCCATATTTTCCAAAGAGTTCAGAAATAAGCTGACATATGGCAATGATGTTGATTGGCTTAACATTATTGGTTTGATTAATATGTATTCTTGGTAGGCACCTGGAGCATAAAGTTGAAAATTTATCGACTGCCATACATTGGGTTTCAGAGTTAGCGTTAACTTCAGTGATGTTAAATAGTTCGGTATAACTTGATTTTTGACTGTTTTTGAATCAATAGAAATTAGATCAACTCCTGGAACCTGACTTGATGACTTAAAAAATTAACAAATGCAAATTCCTTTAATACGCTGTAAAATGTGAAGGTGTTATGAACTAAACACTTACAACTTATCTCTATAATCACGAATTAATAAACTCGATAAAAAATTGCAATGTTCTTCAGTGATTTCATTCAAAATGAGTTTTAGAATTTCCTGATGGATCCATCCACCTGTCATGTAAGTCAATCAGAGAGTCAGGTTTGGAGTTCAAATCGAAAGTAAATCCTGATAGGATTAATCTACGATGTGATTTAAGGAAGAATACTATAAATTGTTGAATTTTCACTAATAATTTAGTAACATAGTGTGTATCATAAATGCTAGGTATCCAGTATTCAATATTACTCTGTTTTTGCTGGTTACTAAATCATCATACATGGAAGTCGTCTTCAAATTTATCAAATTTTACAACACAACGAAGTGAACAACCTGTTCGAACATCACTTCAACCTGTGTATGTATGTCACGTTGCAAAAATCATATTTGTTCTAACCAGTTATCAATATTTGTGTAAACCTAAATAACAGCCAGTAGTTTATGGTAGGGTTAACAAACTGAAGTAAAGTATAAAGTAAAATTCAATAAAATTTTTTTGTTTCAAGTCATACCAACACAGTAGAATAGTTAGCTTGTGCAGTAATAGTTAATGTTTTCGTAAAGTTGGATACACCAGAGCTAAATGTTGATGTGATTATCGAAGGCTTTGTTGTTTTTGGAATTATCGAATAACGCATTGCAATATCACACTGAGCATCTGTACATGATTCATTGAAATACACCGAATTTATTTGCAATGTAGCCAAATTACTTTGGTAATCGGGAAACGAAAAGTAAAAGAAGAGGAAGAAAGATTTGTTGATATTTGTTAGAATTACAAAAATACTGTAGTGCATCTTCTGATTTAAAATTCATAGAGGGGATCATTACCGATGAAGCCCAACTTCAAACTAAGATATGAATAAATTAATGATTTCAAATTATCATAGTGAATTACTATAAAGCAAAATTAATGATAGGCGTTAAGTGGTATCTATGAAACTTCCAATGGTCTGAATTATTTTTTTTGTTAGTTGATCTAAAAATAGTCCAGTATGAAATTATTTATGTAATGGTTGTTGGGGACGAGTTGTTGTTTCACTGAAATATTTTGATAATCACAGTAAGTTAGTGAGTAGAAAGTGCATAATTTCACCACATTCATGAGTGTTTTGCCAAAAGTGTGAACAACGAATCTAGAAGTGGTTATTGAAGCTGGATGGGTTCAATTTTCATTTTATTCATGGTTTACCGAAATGATAGTAATAATAGGATTATAAGCAAAGATAAATAGGGGATATCAGTGGAATTCAAGATGCTCATTTCATCCAATTTGGGACTCGTCAGCCGGATGTACCTGAATCTCAGATTTGATGTTCACTCTAAAACTCGAACCCAGTACCGTTCGCCATCGTGTTATCCACTTAGCTGCTGAGTCAGTCCTCAATAGAATGAAACGCGTGTCCTGGATACCACTGCTAGCCACTATCCATCTTTGCTTATTATGCTTACGAATTATGGCAATAGCAACACAATACGCACAGTGTGCACATATGTCATTAACAGACTGATCAATTGCAATCCCAAACATCAATGGGAAGATTCAAGGAAACAATACCAAGTGAATAATAGGATATTTTAATGAAAATCATATAGTATGTGCCAGGTTCATTTTGTCTTGTCTCAATTAACTTTTGAGAAACACTTAATATACAATTGTATATCATTAGGGATAATGACAAGGCACCCTTTGTATTATTAATAATGATGTTGATACGTCAAACGGGTTTGATCAACAGTGATTCAGTTATGTTCAGTCTTTTCAACGTACATAAAGGATAACTGTCAGCATCATGGGTACTACAACATTTATACATATAAATGAAAATTGAATATTAGCTCGTTATAGATTACCTACATTTAGGTCCCTACTACAGTGACTGGTAATTGAATGTATGTGGCAATCTAGAACACCTACACGTGTTGAATTCCTAACGAAAATATGGATTAACAAAAGGATAATAATGTACAATTTCTATATACTGAGACTTAAAGTATATTCTCAAATATCTAAATCTTGTCTATCAGAAAAAAATGTGGAAAGCATGTTTTAACTTCATTATAATCTAACACTCAGTGGATATTTCTGAAATGATAACTCATTAAAATATAATGCATTTCTTTGCACAGAAATCTACTGATATGTGAAATGTAATTTCGAAAACTGATAAAACAAATTGATATAGAGTTCTGGATAGTAGATTCAGATTTATTGACGAATTATGCAGGATAGTCTTTGAGAATAATCTCCAAATGTTAAAAGTTTGATAGATATTGTGTATTTCAACAAGGAATTCTGGTTTGAAAATAGTAAATTACAAGTAATCTTAGTTAGTTTATCCCACGTTTGATGTCGCGTAATTGATCCATATCCGTATACTTGATTTTTTGTAACATTATACTTGAGTATATATATGTATATATGATGAATTACGTATATATATTTACACATATATGACAATACGGTTAATGGTCAAGCTTACGATTTTACCGAAGAAACAGAGCTCACAGGTGCCACAGTATTTAATAGATATCCAATTGTTTGAATACTCTGTCTGATTATATTTGCTTCACTTGAATTTACTTGTAGTTGGAAAGTTATCGGCATGTAGACAAAGTCTTTAACGAATTTCACTCGAACTTCTACAATTGTATTAAAGTTTACTGTTGGTTGTGAATTTCGTGGTTCGACTTTTTCAATAGTAACTACAGGAGTTTTATCGACCTAATTTCAAATAGTGTTTGCAAATGATAACAAACATAATTTATTGAATGCAAAATTGAGAGATTGATTACAACTTAGGTTTACATTTACATGCAGTTTATATTTGGGTTATAAGCATTCATCTGAAATGTTTTGCAAGGAATAATAAATGTTAGGCAAACAGCTTGACTGATTAATTTAGGTCTGATTTAAACGAAAAGTATTTGGGTAAGTAGAACATGCAGATTTGGTGGAAAATTATCAGGAGCTAACGTGGCGTAGTACTATATTTTATGCTTCATTTATAAAGCTGTAAAATTTAAACTGTTCCATGCTAAAACATCGATATTTTTGTATTGCAATTGCCGACGACTGTAGCCACTAATTGTTTAAATCAACAATCACTAGGTCAAATATCGTAAAATAAACGGCCGTACCTTTTAATGCTAAACAAGAAATCTTGACTAAATCTATACCTCTTCAATTGGGTCCAAAATTTATTTCAGTGGAGCACATTAGTTCACTCACCGTCAGTTCAGTGACAGATAGATGAAGACTCAAAATTAGACTACGATAGAAAAAAATCAACGTGTTTAGGAAAATGGTGGTTGATGTGATCTGGGACTCGATGCCTAAATCAGTATATTTACAGAACAAAAGTGTTTCGACGTGACTTTCAATAGTTTGGATTATTCCGTTGTAGGATGTCTGACTGATTTTCGACTAGTCATAGTTGATTTATGTGCATCCTATGCAGATCATTTTGTTATTGTGATTAAGTCACAATTATTTTAGGCAGAGTTGGACAGTAGATATCAGTAGAATCCACCACTCTTGTTCATATTTGAACTGATGTCCCATAAATTGGTAAAATATTCCCAGTATGACCCTGAAAAGAAGTATAGAGCTCTGAATGTTAGATAAAATTATCGATCACTGAGGTAGCATAGTAGACTTACAAATGAGTTTAAGCTTGCATATACGATTTCACATAAGCATTCATGTACTCTAGTATTGTTCTTCATATGATGACTAGAACTCAGTACTTCGAACACACAACGCGTCATCCACTTAGCGTTTGTGATCATATATCCATAATCGTCCTGGATTTTATTGATATCTACTGTCCAACTCTGCTTAAAACACTTGTGACTTAATCACAATATCGAAGCGATCTGGACATGATTCACGTATACCACAAGAAAATGATCATTTGCTCTCCAACAAATCAATGGAAGGTTCATGTAACAAATACAAATAAACTAGGTCGATATTTAAAAAGATATTTGTCCTACATTGATATATCAGGTTTTGTTTGTAGAATGTCGTTTAGACGCATTAGTAAATGAAAACATGAATCAAACTTACAGGAGTAGTGGTTATGGGTTGCTCCATAGACGTTATCGGAAGTGTTACTACAAAAGAAGATACAGTTAAGACAATACTAAACATCTGAAGCTGCACTTGCATTGTATCACCCACGATATAGCTGGCATTGTAAAATAATTTTAATCCAATTCGAAAATTATAATTAATATTCCATGTGCTATTGTTTCTGAATATACCAATTGTCGTCGTGCCTGTTGTTCTTCGCCCTTGAGATACAGTGTATTCTGTTATTAGCCTGATCTGTAATGTAAGTAAAACAATCAAGTTGAAAATACAATGTCAAAACATTTACCAATATCGAATTCCTTGATGGTGACATGATAGTTCTTTGTTTATAAATATCAACGAAATGAATAGGATAACGTTTAACATCACTGAGTAAGAAAAATCTATACTTTATGCCTGACTTCGAGAGAAATATCATTGCTCAACTTCCAGCAATCAAACTATTAAGAAGTATTGCACACAAAACACTCTACACACATACGACATGTATTGTAATGACAAGATATTATACACTGTTCAGTCATGTGACATATACGTTTTCGGGTCAAATCGATTATATGTACATAACTCAATGCAACTGATCCAGTGAAGATGGATACTTGACTAAGTAGAGGATGGAATAAATCTATTGAAAATCCATACAAGAGACAATAACCAGCAACACTTTTTTCGTTTATTAAACTCCTCTTTAAAGTTTCCACCTCCTAGATTAAAGCAATGTTCATTCGTTGTTTTTATTAAACATTAAATGTTAGAAAGTGTGCATCTAGAAATCATTGATCAAAGGGATGTCTCAATAATTTTAACTACTTGGAGTTTCCATAGATCAGTGAATAATGAATTAATGAACTAGTTGAAATTCATGTCAAACACAAGTCAAAATAATAAAAGTAGAAAGCTTTACTGTTAAGGGCTGTACAAATTTATACCAATGGTGTAACCGTAGTTTATGTTACATGAAACATGTAGCACCTGTGTATGGAAATATAATTAGACACGTAATATCAGTGGAAACTCATCCATAATTATAGAAAGCATAGTAAAATATGTTACTATGAATTTCTGACCTGTATGTCTCTGTTCTTCTTTAACCAATTGATCATTACGCAACCTCCTTTTGATATTTGAAATCTCGGATCATTACATGAAACAATGAATTTTATTGGTAACGAAGAAGTATTCCTATTTATCAAGCAGACACAGAGCTGAATGTTTCACTCCGAATTCATTGAAACATTAATTCTAATCTTAGTAAGAATGTGTTCGAGTAAATTATACATGAATATCAACATCTGATTGAACTTCTAATAAAAGTGCACAGAATGAAATTATCCACTAGCCGTTATCTCATTGTAATGAAGGATCTATGATGTCTGTATGTAATTAGTGGATATTGTCTAAACATGTTTCTATGTAATAGTGATATTACAATAACGATATAAGCTTGTTCATTCAAATGATTTTGATTTTAGACAAATTTTTAGAAACAGACTAAATTGTTTAATGACATTCATTTATGTAATTAATTCATAAAACTATTAATTAGTTAAGGACAAGCAGAAATAATGAGAAAAATATTTGTCTACAATGAACATTGAGAAGTGATGTCCGATAGGCGGAAACTATTAACTAAGAAACTAAATTGTCAAGATAATTATAACTGTTATTCTGAATTAGGTTAGTTATAATATGCGAGTCGACATTCAACTTTATCTGATTGTTGTAGTCAAATAATGGCAAGTCATAAGATATGTTTCGTAGTGAACGACTTGATACTAAATACGTCTCATGACTTAATGCACAAAACGTTGATACCACGGAATGCAGGTTTGTCAAACAATCTTTTTGGCGACCTCTGCATATATTGATATTTATCATATGAAAATGTCGTCGAAGAATATGTTACAAAACATGATAGTTGACGGTACAAAATCAGCATTAGTCATTTTACATCAGAGAGGAAAATTGAACTTGTCTGAACATCTGTAAGCTGAAGAGAATAAATAAACAACTGTAGGCGTGCTGGGCAATTATTTCAATCAGAAAGGTTACTACTATTAACGGTATCTATGATATTGGAACATCAAAACTACTGATATTTGTTTGTTCGTACTGAAGTTCGAATTTTTGTGGTTTACTCATCATATTTGTTTGATCCATCTGGTTTGAGTCCTGTTGATCAAATCGTATATATGTTGCGGTTGAAGAAAAGAATGATGATAGAGTGTCAATTAGAAGTAAAAGCATTGTTTACTATTGTCATTTGTTAACAGACTAGAATTGTGGATATGTATTAATGCAGTCAATTGTGACTTTGCACGATTGGTTCATAATTGCTGAATACAAAACTGTCTTCTGTATAATAATTTTTTGTTTTGATCTTAGCCATGTTTGGATAAGTTAAAGGACAGTGTTGTCAACTTAATTATTGATTATCTGTACACCAGCCGTGATAAAGTGTTTCGGAAAATGGTTGGATTTTACAGTTCACGTAATGGATCGATTTTAGATGAACAGCCACTCAGTAAGAGAAAGCATTGAGAAGATGCTTTGCAGTGAAATGGACTCCTCAGCATAGCATATCCATGGCTTGAATATGGACCCACCGAGTTCATTGAGTTATCATAGCAAACGTTTATCCTTTAGGTCACTGAGTTGTCATCCGACGGTTTACACGTCTAACATAATTTGAGTCGTGACAGTTCACACACGCCATCCAACGTCGATATTAGTTGACTACCTCGCACTATATTATTAAGCGATACTGTGTGTTAGTTATGTTCATAACTAACCAATCAAATCGTTGCTTAAACGCCCATCACAACAAAATGTGGTCTAGTCTGATTGCACTAATCAAATTGGTTATACGTTTGGAAACAGATCAAGTTTAAAGCCAAGTTGTCTTTGTTTGGATTATAGCTTTCACATAAACTGGGATTGTCGTTACCGCGTTTACAGTTCTAGTAGAATATATGTAGGACAAATTAAATTCTACATTTAGTCCTGAGGTCCACCCTCATTGTGTTTTTTTTATACAAACTCCTGAGATGCTCCATGTTACAACGAAATAGCTGTTCAGTACTTTCGAGTTTAATCTGAAAATTGAGAATAGTTGTTCTGGCTTCCTTTAATGTTGCTTGATGATGAGGAATAAACACAGTGATAATGCACTAGTTTGGGGTTGATACATCTTTCATACATTCTTACCCAGGTTTTTGTTGTGAAGATAGCTTTTGGTATCAAAGTTTGACTTAATAATTGCAAATAACCTCTGCATTGGATAGAATGACGGTGTATTGATCATATCGCAATGAGTAGAAAATCGAATTACTCGCGTTAATAATAAACCTGTAAAAGGTGTTTCAATTATAGATGAGTTTCGATTTCCCGTACCATTTACTTGTTTATTGACTTGAGGTATCTCAATATCAAGTGGCAAGCGATATAAATGATTCAAATACAATCATGCCGGAGTCATTTATCAATCATCAAAAATTCTACTGTTATTCGTGCTTTCAATTTATTGAAACAATTTTGTTAAAGTAAACACGTAAAGTTTATCCTCCTTTATGAGAGTTTTTTAAAAACCAAAGAAAATGGAAACAATTATTATGATATTTTATACTTACGTTCTTAGTTGAATTATTTTCTGTTAACAAGTAATCCACAGAACATGGTTCCGTCATTAGTTTACCAGTATTAGTTATCAGGATAGTATAAGTCGCTGTTGTATAAGGTGGAACACTCAGTTCAACATTAAAGAATTGCAACTTTTCAGCTTGGTTCACGATTGAGGTATCCTTTAAGGCCAAATTACCTTTCTCAACCTATTCGTTAAAAAGAAGGTTAGCATGATCTGTGCTGACAACTTACCAAATTAGAACCTGCAAATGCTATGAGTTGGCTCTCACAAAAATTCACTGTAGAATTCTTACCTAATGGTGAGATTTTCGCTTCAAACATAACGGATACCAAACTTGGTTTATATATCTGGATAAAAACAGTTAGACGAACTGATCGATTCATCATTGGCAAAGTAGTGTCATAAACACCTAAAATATTTTTTAAATTAAATGTGAATATGTACATATGAATATAAAATAAGAATTGCTCGTTCCAATAACTCGGAAAAGAAATATTCAAAGAAATATGAAAACAAGATCATTTTGTGAAAGAATGCTTGTCATTGGGATTTATAAGAGTAAATCGCGAATGTTCCCTAATAAATATAATGGAAAATAATAGTGTATATTTGCAGCTTTCTAACACGACAGTTAGCTATTTATGAAAAAAATGAGACCGATGAAAGCTAAAAGATAGTCAACTAAACGCAATTATATGCTTCATAGATGTAAGAGCTCTAATGGTGAGTAATGTTAGTAACCTTGAATATACTAAGGTCATTATCTTCCAGTCTGACTAAGAACACTGAAAGATAGCTGCAAGATATCAAGAACTGATTGAAGGTTAACATGTGAGCCACTGGATGTAAGCTAAGTGGTCTAGAGGTTAGATGTTTGCACGGCACACCGAGGTTCCTGCTTCCTATTCATAACAGTGAAATGGTGGATGCGTAAAGTCTTAATTTAGAAAAAAACATAGCTTTTCAGTGCTTCTTAATATTTAATGATTGTACAACGAAAATCAGTCTGTGATTCGGAAACTCAAAAATCCTCACGATCCTCCTACGTTAGTCAAGACTGATCGCAAACTTTCTAATAATACATCCATTGAACTATGTCATGAAAAGAAGCCTAGAATGGATGATAATTTCGAACATTGTTCATCAAAGTTTGAGGGGTGAGAAGTTTTTACTGTTACATCTTTCATCAATCTACATATGGAAGGTCTTGTAAAATGAGAAACAAAGAGGTAAAAAATAATTTTCTTCGCTGGTAATTTTTAAAATATTGCAAAGCATGGGTTGTTTTGAACTGCATCGCATTCTTTTGCAATAGTAATTGACGGTTCGGTATGTCACGATGTATCTGTGTTCGATAGCCACCTACAGACCTTGTAACAACCGCTATATAATCGGGGTTCAAGTCAAAATAAAGCAGTTTACTCAATTGAAATGAGCAAAGTTCCACCATCTTACTGTTGGTGCTTCTCTTTGTGGTCTTCATCTGCAATTAGTAATTATTCTCGAAAGAGAAAATAACTAGTATATCTTTCATAAAACTTTCTATAGATCATAGGCAGTAAGGGTGTCTGTCACCTAGTTATGATTTTGTAATTTAACTTACCCCAGTCAGTAACAAATTTATGAATGCAATTATATTCAGAAAACTAAATATTCAGGGATGAAGAAACTATCGACTGAGCAGTTCACCGTCTTTTAACAGCACTTTCCAAAAATAATGAATTTTATATTATTGGACAATTTTGTACATAAAATTTCAAGACGTCTTGATGGTACTTTCAAAATTGCCTAGACAGTAAATACGTGTTCAAAGTGGTTTCCTGGAAAACTGAAATCCTGTTCGTCTCACTTTTAGTTACCTTCTTTAGCAAACTTACTACTAAATCAAAATCACAGTTTTCTCTATTCCTTTGCTCTTACATAAATCGGAGAATATTATTCAGCTTATACTACTATATTTAATAGCAGTAAATGTACTATTGTAACTATGACTTATCAAAGACCTTTATTTCTCCTCTCGGTAAATATTTAAGACATTTCAAACTAAATTGAGAGATCTCTCGCTTCCTGTCGTAGTACCGAAATGAAAGAAATCATGTTTTTTGATTTATCTAACCAAAACTGTTTATTTCTCGTTTCTTAGTGATTACCCTGAAAGTTACGCCATCATCTATGTGAATAATAGCAACACTCTAAGCCTAACATATTTTCGGCAGTGGACATTTTCTCTGCTCGTCACACATAGTATTTGAATTTCGTGCTGAAATTCAGTTTTGATTGACTTGTCCCTAATGTATACTTTTACTGAAACCATCATCGTAATTACTTTTTGAATGGAGTTTTCCATATTACTCTCATTCCATTTTCTGATTGACCTCCATTGCTTTTAGTTAGCTAAACTTCTATAGTCTTAACGGTCATCTTTTTGTCCCTATATTACAGAGTTAAGTGAAATCACAACCTTGAACCACGTACACTAGTGCAATTTACGGAAGCCTCAACAAAGAACACTATGAATATATTAATTAATTTTTGTTCAGGAAATAAGTTGGACGAGAGATATTTGATTTCAATGGACAGCTTGATGATAAGTGAAGTGCACAAAGTTTAAAAAATAACAACAAAATAAAAAGTATCTTCGTTGGTCTAAACAAGTTAGTAACTATTTGATAGTGGTTAAATTCGACTATTGATCACAACCCGGTCAAACAATACTATTTTTTTCTGTTGAATTTTACTATGACAATAGGAGATGGCTATAAACTTGCGAAATCAGATATCAGGTGTCTCGCAGTTGTAATAAATCTATAGTGAAGAAGTACTATCGTGTATTTTTGAGCAGAATGATGACAGCACATTTTAGAAATTCTCCTAATAGAAGTTTAGAAGTTTTAAGACAAATCTATTACGAAATAAAATAGTGTTACAAGTAGCAAGATTATTCAGAATTTAAATGCAATCACACAAAAGTAAATTTATCTGATAATGAAATGTATAACAATCTGCCAGCAGATATCATTTGGTCAGTGGCATTCGCACTTCATTTGTAAACTGATATATAATGTTGGTATGAAGCTCAATTATCAGGTCTCGATTTCATTGAGAGAACTGTGAAATCCGTATCATACAGGAGCTTATATTTGAAGTGACTTCTACGTATGCTCATTTTTGTGGTCGATATTCTTATATGTAGACATTTACCTTTTCGTAAAACAAATCTTTTTCTTCTTTCCATTAGTATTGTCTTCACTTGGAGATTCGTGTCAATAATCTGATCTCGTATTCAGCAAAAACAAAGACTGAAGTAACAACACGTTTATCCATTGGTTTATTTGCAATTATCAACCGAGCATTGTTCATAAGATGATTATCAGTAAAATATATCTTAAATTCAATGGTTTTTCGGAATACGACTTCTGGAAACAAATATTTTTATCCATCTTGGATAACAATGTATTCAGCTCCTACCATCTTCTTCATTCCTCTTAATCACTCCATCTTTATGCACATTGGATTGTTCACAACATCTCTTGTCATTTCAGTTCAGTAATAAATATCTTTGGTACGAAGAAATTTGTCATACCATTACACTACATGTGTCAAATTTAATAACGTTTTGAAGTAAAACAGCCAAACACTTTTCAATTTATGACTAGGCAAGACAGAATAAACACTGAGCTTATTCAAATTCATGATCAACAGTTGAAAATGTTTTATTAACGGATCTGTCTATGCACAAATGTTGTCACCAAATATATGTGGTTGTTAAGAATTGATTAGTAACATCACTTTGACGAATCCATCATACTGACCAGTAAAAAAGTGATTCATCGAAGAAATATCACCAGAGAAATAATTATCAAAAGGTTCAGGTGAGCTCAAAATGATTATTCATGGAAGATATCTATAATGCATAACACCGAAATGAGAGTAGCAGAATAAGTGCCTAAAATCATATCATCCACTGCCCTAATGACATGCAATATGAAAATTCGGTACTTGTGTGAATAAGTATCATAAAATGGAAAGCGCTTGTTATTGTTTTGATAAGTGTATACTTAATTCCATAAACATGCATACAGGAAAAGATGTAATCTTTCGAAAATAAAATATTTAGGAGTACCACGTTTTGAGCATCGTGGTTGGTTGTGAAAAATCAGGAACTCAGTGTTATAAGACACAGCTAGACTGAACATAACTGTTAATATATGATACAGTTAACAATATACATGGTTTATACTGAAACGGAGTGTTTAATGTTATAAATCATTGTACGGTGAACTTACCTGGATTTTGTAGATTTGAAACGCTAACGTAGCCAATGGTAGTCAGTACGAAGGTACTACCAACGAATTGTTGCGTATCTATTTTATAACCTTCTGGGTATGTAGAGAATGTTGTAGGTAGCGTCAAAGATATATGTCCAATTGAGGCACTAAACTCATCAGTAGTGAATGTGAACTATCAAACAATTTATTAGGAAACAACAGTAAGTATGTTTCTGCACGTAGCTTTAAGGAAATAAATGCGTAATTTTTTGTATTGGGTGAACATACAAAAGTAAAGTGTTTATATTCAGATATATCTACTTAATATCCTACAACATTATGATGGATATTTAAATGTACTCTATTAACTTTGTCTGAACAAATTAGTACAACGTTGTTATTGACAAATGATCATCTCAGTTGTTGTAGAAGTTCTCTCTTTATCATATTGAATAATTACCTTGTTCGTATTGCATTGGTTTGTTAAAAATGAGTTATACTTTATTTGTTCAAGTAATTAATAGTCTGTGAAACATTGATGTGGTATATTTATATGCTGGCTGATGACTGTTTGCTCTTCGTTTCACTACTGAACCATGGCAATCATTTTACTTCGGTGAATCATGAAACTCATCTTGGACATCACTACGTGACACTATTCCCACCGGTGAGAATGAATTTTTTAGAGTTTTTGTTTAAAATTTGTGAATTTCTATTCTACCTAAGCCGCCACTTCGAACTAAAATAACTTCTAATTATTGGGTGCCTCAGTTATAACATGTTGACTATGAAAAAATGATCACCTATCGTTTTTACATCACATCTGCTTGACTAGCGTAATTTTTTGTATTGGGTGAACATACAAAAGTAAAGTGTTTATATTCAGATATATCTACTTAATATCCTACAACATTATGATGGATATTTAAATGTACTCTATTAACTTTGTCTGAACAAATTAGTACAACGTTGTTATTGACAAATGATCATCTCAGTTGTTGTAGAAGTTCTCTCTTTATCATATTGAATAATTACCTTGTTCGTATTGCATTGGTTTGTTAAAAATGAGTTATACTTTATTTGTTCAAGTAATTAATAGTCTGTGAAACATTGATGTGGTATATTTATATGCTGGCTGATGACTGTTTGCTCTTCGTTTCACTACTGAACCATGGCAATCATTTTACTTCGGTGAATCATGAAACTCATCTTGGACATCACTACGTGACACTATTCCCACCGGTGAGAATGAATTTTTTAGAGTTTTTGTTTAAAATTTGTGAATTTCTATTCTACCTAAGCCGCCACTTCGAACTAAAATAACTTCTAATTATTGGGTGCCTCAGTTATAACATGTTGACTATGAAAAAATGATCACCTATCGTTTTTACATCACATCTGCTTGACTAGCCAACACTAAATATTGGCGTTTAAGGTTTTTACCCGATCATCTCTTTAAGCAATTTATTGTATAATATGTAAAGTGGTCGGAGCCAGACAAGCACGAATAATTAAATCTAGAGCTTAAAGTTATCGTCATGCAAGTTGAATTCATTTTGATCCGCATATCATGTGGATTATGTAGTGAAATATGTTCATAAATGAAATAAGAGTATAATTAGTGTTGCCTTTATGACCCGCTAGTTATCACGCAATCTGTTCGCCAATCAAAATACGACTTATTCGCTCTTATAGTGTACCAAACCAGTGACGTCCGACCGGTTTGGTCAGTCTAACGTCCTATTGATCCGTTACTCGCCTAGCTCGTCCAGCTGAGTCCAGAATGCCAACATCAGCCTCCACTATGCGAATCATTTATTTCAGACCTACTGGAATTATATACCAAACAAACAGACCGCAAAGCACCATAAAATAGGAAATAACATTCATAAACAATAAAGCCAAAGAGAGGCTGTGAACGTGGGAGACAGTAATTAATAAACTGTGTATAACTTAGGAACAGTAAGTCGTACAATAATAATCTGTAGGTCAAAATGAAGCTTAGAACAAGATGAATATATGTATAATCTAGTTACTGAATAGGTATACCATACGAATATATAGATAATATTAGTCCATTAATAGGTCCCAGAAGTTACTCGTACTTTAGTCTTCACTAGAATATAACAAATAGTATCATTGAATACATATATTATTAGTTTCGAAATGTTCAAACCTGGCCTAACAGTGAGAACAATTTTTGATCTGTGACCATGAAATTAGAAAGCATATCCTTAAATTACAGGAAATTATGAATTCTTATGTTTCAATGATATTACAAGTAGGAATGTTGGTTTCTGAAACGTTAACAGTATCATACTTAACATTAGAAAATATTAGATATAAGGAGAATTGTCAAGGTAATTCAATAATAATTGCTCATTTAACCAAATGAAGATTTAACAAAATTCGTGTTATGAAATTGAATACTATTCAGTAGGTCAAATGCTTGAGAAAATTATGACTATTGATATTAAAGAGAAATAGTGATAACATTTCAGCTAAAACAACAAACTGTCAATACTAAAAATTGTCCCTATGAAAATGAGAATACAATCACCAGGATAATAAGTCTAGCAACTTCATTTCGCTTTATTTGGTCGATTATTCAACATACTTCAAGTTTTTAAATGTTAGATAATCTATGATTTTGATTTATGGCTGTACGATGTGAGATGATAAACCTTAATAAAGTTTTATTTTATTCACCTGTTCTTCTTTAAAACAGATCGTGTTTTTTCAGAAGAGTGGTCAATTATTCTTATATTTCTTCTAATGATTTAAAGGTTTACAAATGTATTCCAATATCATATCAGAATTTATCGGAATTTAATGAAAAACACTGAACGACATTCAGTGTATTTGTTGAATGTGGTAAAGATAGAGCTGATGATTATAACATACTTGAATGTTGTTGATCTTGGCAAATGATCTTGATTTAATTTATATGGTGTTTAATTCACGCAATTCGTCTCACTTATTTACAGTGTCAGCTGAATGATTATATTCTTCAGCAGAGTAACTGAATAAGATCAGATTTTCACAGACATCTGACTATCAGGTTTTTTCTATTTTGCAGCATCTGTACTCCTCTAGCTGATATTCTATGGAGTAATTGTCATCAAAACCTGACACCTTTTCCATTTATTTTGTAATTTTGAAGTGTTCATCAGGACCCGGTATTTTTTAATAGCATCGTCTAGTTCTACTGAATTTGTCATCACCATTAGATTACAGATTTTTGTACGAAAACTAACCGATATTAATTATTATTCGAAATAGCGAACTAAATATATTATTATTTATTTCAACACATAGATAATGGTACAAAGAGGCACCAAATACATATGCGCCACACAAATCTCATTCGATATGTGTGTGAGGGCTGTGATACTGCCCGGGTGCCCAAACCGAAACAGGTGGTTTTCTTAAGGGATCACACCCCGAGCCTTCGACCCGAAGGTCTGATCCACAAGGCAGTGGAGCATCGTAAGGAGATGCAGTCCCATGGAAGCCGGTGACCAACAATTGGTTCATTCGCCATTTGTTCCCGCAGGATACTGGAGCCCATGTGCACCATTGGTTTGGAATCCGGTTAAAGCGCCGGACATTCGCTTTTCGTCCTCTCATTTTCGTAAACAACACCCCCGCCACGAGAAGGCAGTGAGTAGGACTTCCCTGGCAGAGGCTATATACGCGTGGCCGTGTGAGAGTATTTCGAGAGGGAGAGCGGACTCTCCCCACTCTCGGCCGTACCAGGGCATTTGGGGGCGAACTAAATATATGTATAATCTGAACTGAAGATTGAATCATAAGTGTTATTGATCACCAAAGGAAGTTTATCGTATTAGCGAAATCTGAGAGGAGGAAACAAACAGTCTTTATTACTGATTTTCGTGAACAGATTTTTTACTGGCAGTTAAAACCTGGATTATTTTGGTAACGAATTAGTGGTAAATTTAGGTAGGATACTGATTGTCAGCAATGGCCAATTTTGTAAGAGAGAGGTTTTGATATAGTTAAGTGGATAAAAGCAAGTCTAGGTGATCGTTAAATAAATTCGTTACATGCCTTGTCTCCGAACGATGAACATCCTTTTGATCTTCAAAAGACAATAATATGCATTCATCTAGCTGTTGAAATGTCTCGTGACATAAAGCTCCACATATTTCATATTGGTGATGAACAAATTAATTTTTCGCAATGAGTCACGTCATAGTATGCAACAATTAAGTAAATTGTTCAAGTATCATACTTATCACTCACCACATAATCGCCAATGGGTCTGCTTATAAAGTAGTCCACAGAATACTCATAAACCCCACCTACTTCCACTTGCGGTGGGCACTTGGTAAAGTTGACTGAATCATATTGAATCGGACAGTTCGAGGAAACTCTCATGGGAATATCTACGGTAATCTTTGGAGTCAACAATGCCTCCATTCTAACTGTTAAATTGGTACCTATTGGTGGAATCGACATTTGAGGAAAAAGACCAACTTGGAATCGCATCCTAATACTGAAGTCATTTGAATCATTGGTAGGAGCGGATGAAACATTTATCTGACTTGTCATTGTGAACCCCGAAGACTACGGAAAACAATTAACAAAAGTGGATTAAGGGCTAGAATTCTCAGGAAATTCTCCATTTTTATATTTATAATTTGGCATCAAAGATATGAGTTAATATCAACTTATGAAAATATACTACTTCATATTTCAAACCAATTTAGACCCATTCACAGAACCGATTTTAAGCGATGTTGAGTCATTTGATGTGACATCTTTTATCATATATTTCCTCAAGTTTGTAGATTGACTACAATTATTTGGTATATCAACTCATCTATAACCAAAATCTAATTTATGGAATAAAACAAAGCAAATATAGAAAATCAGAAATTCTATTTATTACTGCTCCTTAAAATATGAACCTCACAAAGATGTTTCTACATCTTATCTGATCCTTTCTGTTTTAGTTCTTGTATTTTCCCCTCCTTCGTCTCTCTGGAAGTTTTACTCAGTGATGACCATAGTCTTATATTACAGTGTTTTCTTTCTTCTAATCTTGTAGATTATTCTGTTCTATTTACACTCACTTTTCAAATTCATACTCATAATGGAACTTTGTATTCAGGTTTTCGATAGGTTGTTAAGATATGGAGATTATTGGATGAGACTAAAATCAGGAAGGTTTCTTAAGCGAAACTGAATTAAATTTCATACAAATTAATTATCTATTGTAATGACTCTTCACAATCTCACTGTGAGTATTTTAAAGTTGCTTTTAACCATTTAAAAACTTTTATTCTTCCGAGTACATAATCAGCATCAGCTGGTATTTGGAATGTGTTGATATGAAAAAGAACTATGATATTTACTCTCAATCTTCAGTGAAATATGGAATAAGTCCTTGCACATATCGGTTTACTTTTCATAGGAACTTTTAACTAGTACAATATTTTTAATTACAATGTAATATGTATTGAAGGCCAGGAGAAAAAGATTAGATGATATATTAGCTTCATGAGAGACTGTTAACTAAGGGTTATACCTATACAGAAAGTGAATTCAGAAAACCTGATTGTGTCTACATAATGTAATTCAAATTATCTAGCAATTTTTCATTTTTACACACATTTAATGCTTGTTAGACAAAGTTTATTTTATCATTTGTAAACATAAATCAAAGTTCTTTGTTTACTATTTCCATGAGAAAGGTTTATGTACATAACCATGTGCTTTAGAAACCTACTACATATGCTTCATTATTTTCTCAAGTGCAGTATCAATGGATATACACAACCCAGAAACTTCCAGCAATTTTTTAACGCATCACAACGAACAACCTCTAATGACAGGATTCAAGAGGTGTCATATGTATATTTACTTGTATATTTCTTGTTACACATACATTTACAATGTCTAACAGAAAATGCTGTAAACAGCAAAATTAATCAAAATACATTCATATCCTTACCGAGGAACTATTGTTCAAGTATGTGAGATTACTAAACTTCACAGGATAATTATTTGCTATATTTGAACCGTTGTAGTAAGCAAACAAATATTGTATATATCCGTAATAGACATTATTTAGAGACGGACCAGAAAATTTCATGACCAAACTATTATTTCCAGGTGGAAGGACAATTACCGAATCAATAAACCATGTATCGAATAGACAATAATTTCGATTATTCTGGATGTATACTCTGGAAAATGTGACATTGATAGTATTCGGTGGAACTATGACACCCTATAAAGAAGAAAAAATGACATTACTTATCTGAAAACTTGAAATCATAATGAATTTATATAGTACACATCATGGTTGTATATTTTACTATGCACATTTGCTGATTCGGATCACAACGTCCTGATGAAAACACTATCTGATTTCGTTAACATCGGAATCATTAAATCGAATTCATTAATGAATAATGATTGCAATCTTAAAAGCCACATTGTTTTGTAGGATAAGTGACTGGGAAATACATACGAATTCAAAGACAATTATGCCTACTTATAATTCTTACTACTACCATAATTTTAAATAGTTTTCATTTTTGACAAAAATGATTATTCGTAGCGTTTTATGAGAGTTTGACGTTCATCTGATTTGTAGAATGTTTCCAGTGGTAACATACCCCTAATCGTGTTCATATTCTGCTGTTGTTGTTGTTTGAACATCAAGGCTCAGAACTATGACATAAGATTTGAGGAATCATCGATCATATTGTTATGCTTGGTTCAAAGAAACAGGTTAATACAGTGTCAATCGAAACAATTGATGAATCTCTTTCAGTGACAGCTTACCAATTGTAAAATCAATGACAAAAACTGCAGTTGCATTTTTAAAAATACTACAATGAACAGAGATCATACCCTCTTGACTGCAGTGATTTCACTTTCTGTTTCTTCTTCAGAATACTTTCCATCAATTAGAATGTTGACCGTTGCATCATCAGATATATTTAGTGAAGTATTTGCATTCTTAACTGTCACTTGAAAAGTGATGATGTGATTATTCTTCATTGTTTCATAATCACTTTCAATTACTTTCAAAATACCAGTTGTTCCATCGATAGCTACTGGTACGTAGTTTGAACCAGGTACAATATTGAATTGAACACTTCCACACGATGCTAAGGAGGAGTTTTCATCACTCAGAGAAAGTCTACCAATCAGACTTCCATTGATCCAGTTAGAAAACTTGGTTTCGAAGGTAAATACTGTCTGAGTGAATTTTGGAATTCTATGTACTAAAATGGTAAGCATGTAATCTCTACAAAGTTAATATTTCACAATATATATATAAACCAGAAACGAATTATGAATCATGGAATGGACAATATTTCTTCAACTGTAACCAATGCACAATACAAATGATTGAACGTTTTTACAAATAGATGATTCAATTCATGAATAAATTTTGTTTAAGTTAACCAACTGACGATTTTCCATGATTTCTTATAACGAGATGTGCAGTAAATTTGACTACAAGCTTATCAAGAAATGTGAATTATTATTCATTCAGTGTAATATTTATTTCTTATGCAAGTAATGTAGTTAATGAAGAACTCAGATGTGGAAGACCAATTTATTGTTCAATGCAAAATTATAGAGTTACACTGAATACTTCATTTGCAAATCCTACATCACTTATCCCTACATCATTCATGATTCTTCCATCTCAATCCCTTCATGCTTCCCCATTCTGTTTTTTTCAGTGCTATCTTCTCAAGCTTATTTTGACAGACATTCCAAATGTGATTGGTTTACATGCTACTTATGTAAACAGGGATAAGTAGAATACACCATAGTAAATCTTTTGGGCTTGAGATAAGAGTCTTTAGCATCATCTTGATAAGGAAATGATAGAATGTAACCAAATATTTATAAAACCGAAAAGAAAATTTTCTTGTTATTAGTAATATTAGCTAGTTAAACCACAAATGACTGACTTACATCGTTCTTCACAGGTTGTCCCGATCCAACATGTATTACACACACACGTTCCATTAATGCAGTGACCATTAACACAGCTCCTAAACAGAAGGATTGGGCATTGAGGTCTTATCCACACAAATAACTAAGAGTTTGTAGATAAGTGAAATTTGTTATGCATGTTTCAATAACTTTAGTTTTAGTGCGTGAAACCGACTTGCGAAGAAAAACATTATGATGCTAATGAAAATCAGTTATTTGAGTTTGAAGATGAGATGTCAAGGTGTATACTTTGTACAACAAACTTTTATCGGTACATTAGCTAAATATACCAGAATTTGTACTATTTGGAAATGACCTGGCCATCCTAAAATCGTAATTTAATGAATATCTCTGCACAGTTTAATTTAATAAAATATTTAGTACTTCTACAAGTTTATCCATCCTGCAAAGTTGGTAAATCGAAACTAAGAGTAAAGAGCTTTGAATATGATTTCAATACGAAATCGCTGACTTTATTTACTAGACAATCAACAACAGACGATTAAGATCTACGGTTTGTTCATTCAGTTCAACCATAAACGAAACCGAAAATAATGCCAATAATTAGCACGAAATTCTTGAGAAGTGTGCTCAGCTTACTTTTAACTACCATTCTTATACACAATTGGTGTGATATTTCAAACAAACAGAAGCGTCAGCAAACATGCTTACAGCAAGATAACACATCAGCATTAATGGATGACTAAAGACCAACTAAGTTTCACACTTATTTTAAACAGTCTGAATATTTTAAAGTGTTTTTTGTATATTACTGAACAGTTTTCGCACTTACCAAAAATATTGAAAGTATCAAAATCAACAGTCAGTGAAACTATGAATACACTATTTCGAGAAACTTTATCTTCAGCACTGTCTTTCATTGAACGTTATATTGAAAGTTATATCATTCAACTGAAATGTCCTCAGGCCAATACTCTTAATTAGTTTGAAACCGTCATTTAAACTAATTAAGTCGAGACGTGTTTAGTAGTTCTGATTACTTTCATTTTTTCTATGGACTTTCTATGTGTCAGCTTCTAGAGGTGATCTTTCCTCATTTGATTGCTTATCAATTAGTTGTCTGTCTTTAGGCTCAGTTACTGATTTAAATAGACTGAGAATATGTTTATGGTTAGTTTGCACAGTAATCATTTGCAATTTAGTTCACGTATATCGAATGATAGAACAAAAGTGTTTGGGACGTAGTACTGATGCAGAAAATCTAAGATATTGCTCTACTACTTGTTTGTAACATATTTTAATTTGACTGTGATTATAGTTGACCGCTTCCTCTATCGTTTGAGTCACATTAGTTCAATTGGACTAGCGATTGCGAATTCTAGACATAAATAGTTAGTAACTGATTTCTATTCTGTATACAACAAGTGAAATAAATGTCTTATCACTGCTCAGTACAAACAATTATACCACATTTCGTGTTACTTATGTATCTATATCACGCAGAAAGTTGTTAGGTGGTTGAAGATAGTCAGAAGGAAACTCTGGTTGTGTGTTATTCAAGGCTTGCTAGCAGCTAAGTAAACCATAGATTTAGGTCACCACTAAGAACTAAACATACATGTTATTGACGATTATTCGGTAACCAATCAGTGTAAACAGATGACTGCAAATGAACAATATTAACAAGAAAGTAATGATACATAACTGATGTCGACTGAATACATTTTGTCACTTGTCTTCTGATTCCTGTTTATTAATAAAACTGTAATCAACCAAAGACACTTAAAGAGAATCATATAAATATTTATTGCCATCACGACATTAATATTCTTTCAACAGACTTACGATGAATTATTTTCACACGAGTTTGTGGATTGTTCAAATGATCCATGAACTACTGAATGAAATATATTAGTTTAAACCTAAACAATCACTCATCAACTTACGAACAGTATGAATCAGTATAATGATCAAATCTGTTGAAATTCTTGGATAGACGATCATTATGTATGAATGTGAAAATGTAAGTCAAACGAAGGTGATGATGCTGATGAAACGTTTGGGTTCAATTTTGTTCAAAATAATTTCGGATGATTTAACTAATTTCAGTCAATAGCTAAATGAATTTATTGTCGTTTCAGCCAATCAGAATACAGTCACTGTATTTTGGGTAGTTGCACCTATTTATTCTAACTCCTAGTAACAAAAGAAACCTGTTGACAATTCACATATTTGTCATATGAATGGGGTTTACAACAACAAAGAACTTGAACACTCCAATAGCAACAATTATTCGTACACACTATCATACTAACCAAAAATATAATGATGATAACTAGCCTTGAGTCTTTTGGGCGATGGTTAATTTGAAGTATGAAGCGAACCTCGGACGAAACTATAATGAATTGTACTACATGCAAAGTTGTCCCTTAGGTAAATGAAAAAAAACTAACACTTTGGTAACCAGGTGACTGAAAAAAACGTTGTTTTAGGTTGACCTGATAAGTGAAAAATACAAAATGATGTTCTATAAGAGGTCGTTGATATCTTGTTTTATTTAACCCAACAATTACTCTTTACTGAAACAATTCATATCTGTCATATTGTAATAAAGCATTGTTATAATTTAGTGTGAAGATAATTTAAGGACAACAAATTGAATGAATATAAGCCACCGATATTTAAGCTTTTCTATTGTCTATCTGGAATGTTTCAGTGAATAAAGGTTCTTTCACTATTATTTTCATTATGTTTATTACGTTACGGAGACATAGTAATTAAAGTGAATTAACTCTCCGTGTCACACCTTAGAATTGTTTGTAATAAATAACTACAATACAGAACAAGAATTAAGGTGATCTACCACCATGTTAAACTCACCCTTTATAATAGTGTGGTTAAAACTGTTGTTTGCTTTTAATAATTCAACTGAAAATTTATTTATTTATTGAATTAATTACAGTCAATTAGTTCCCACTGTTTCATTCCGAGTGTGAATTTCTCAGATGCACCAATATAGTCCAACTAAGAGAAATGTTTTCCAGTTACAGGTGTCTCTATCACATGTCTCATTGAGAACTTTAAGTAATGAAACAACAGTTTGCATTCTTGCTCAGTTCGAGTTACTGGATATACCATAGATGACCACAATTCTGTGAAATAGGGGTAGAAAATGATTATAAACATCAAGCTATGTTTAGCACTGCATTTGTGAAAATATTTAGACAAATTTATGTGGATTTCCCCAGTAAGCAATAGTCACGAAATAGGTGACGACAAAATTCTCGACCATCATAGCTTTCTGATACGCTACTTGTCTCATAAAGACGTGATCTGTCAGAACAAACAAACAGCTAAATATTACATACAAAATTAATTGACAATATGAAATACACAACCTGACCTTCGAAAGCATGTGATCTGTTTCCATACATGTTCACCATTGCTGACGAATCACTGTCAAACATCTGAAACACGTCCAATTAGATGTGCTTTTTAAATTCCACTCGTTTGTGTATGATTTCCTACTGTCAAATCTCATTTTCTGATTTAGCAGTTCAAAAGTCCACATTATCTAGGGATTTTGGGCTGTACATCTTAATCTCAGTCTAGATATTTTGTTTCTTTCTCTTTATCATTTTACATACACATAGTCAGGACTACTTATCTAGGCAGTAGAACGGAAATTTCATAAACTACAAAATTGTATTTTATAGAATCCAACACCTGAGTAGTACTGATTAATCCTAACGCTTACAATCACAATAACCTAAAAGCTAATCAAAATCCAATTTACAATTTCACACTGAGTAACATTGGCTTTCTGCACTCACATATGTTGGAATACGACTATACGATTAGAAACAGAAAAACTTCATTGTCAAACATTGTTCAGATAGAACTCACACTCGTAGATAAATCACCTGAACACACACGAAAATGGAAAGTTTGGGGATGTTTGTGTTATTAATGAAGACATGTATTAGCATAATCCATTGTGTTAACTTCCACTTCAGGTCTGATAGTTATATGATAGTGAAGTGCCAAAATAGATAGGATTACTTAGGTCATAACCACACCAACTGCCGAAATCCATAGATCTACTGTAGGTTAAAAGTTTTACTATTTTCATGAGAAGTCCCTAATTCGCTCTTATAATAAATTATCTAATGGAATTTTAATAGCAAACTGATTTGAAGCTAACTCCATAAAACAATGAAATGCATAATACTACATCCCACTAAACTCCGCCTGTAGCTCTCCTAGAGATACCGCCGCTCCCAAGCCTGAGTAAAGGAGAAGAGTTGGGCATGGGGTCGGCAACCCTATCCCGTAGAAAAATGTCATGCTAAAGAACGCCAACCAGATGAAACAAATTAAACTCTTCCCTGGGATTTGAAGGAAGACTTGTGACGCCTCATGACGAATGAGGATATGTGTTAAGCCAATCTATTGTGTTAACTTTTACTTCAGGTCTGATAGTTATATGACAGTGAAATGCCAAAATAGATAGGATTACTTAAGTAGTAAAAACTTTCAATTCATTTGAAAACTTACATGACTTTTAAATATTCTGCTAGTCATAACATTTCAGAACTTGTTTTTTACGACTATTTAATAATAAACGAAATTCCATGTGAATTATGAAGATTGGATAATACGTTGTGATCAGAAACACATACTGGGTAGTATATTTTAAAATGTTTATTTTCATGTGTTACTTATTTACGCCTGAACCCCTGACCATAAAGTTCAGAATTCATCTAACGTAAACCTGATTCAAGTTAACATTTCAAACTAGTCATCAAAACACCAAATTTTGTCTAACAATCCTAAATTCACATGCTATGACTTTGAACGATGTGCATTGCCGTAAATCTGGTGTTAAGTATGTTTTCCATTCTCTGTCCTCACTCACTTCTCTTCGACTCTTTTGCGTATTGTTTTATACTACTTTTTTTATATTCAGTAAATAGTAGTATTCCTAGTATTTCTCACATATATGTTGTATCGCAAGTTTGTCCTGTAAGATTCTGAGATATTTACATATACTTATAACATTTATTGTTTTTATCATCAATCATTGTAAAAGTTATCCACAATTTTGTACATTTGTTTAAACCTTGTTCAAACGCAACGGTTTCCACATCGTTTGCACTTGTTTCGGTTTTTGCTTGTTGATAAACTGTTACCAAGTTTAGACGCAGCTAACAGCTGTCTTTTGCACCATCGAAGCCATTTCTTATTTCATACAAAAGGACACGGTAAACACAGTAGACACCTCACAAGTTGAGATTTGTAACTAAGTTTTGTATATTATTCAACAAAGAACCGCCATTTTAGACAGATCGTTGGATCTCCATTGGATGACTTGGACGGTTCGATGGAACTGACACGTGGCTAGTTTTCGCATTAATAACTGGCATTTATTCATTGAATATTCTCCATTCATACATTAATCTTTTAATATGGCGGAAATTTTTAAACAATATGCTAAGTATATTTTATCATGAACTTCCACAATCTCATAATGGGTTCATAACATTTGGTTGAAAACACCTAACACCTTTACGCTTTTGTCCACACATTCAACATCAACTAATATTTGTGCGTTTTGTCATAGTTATATGTTGCATAGGAAACCATGGTGAATGTGTGTGAGAAACTGATTTCAACAGAAAAAGTCTCGCTAGAACCTATTGTAAAATTTTTATTTTCCTTCTCTAAACCATCCATCTGTAACTTCTTCAAAATATATAGCTATTTCAGATCAATTCATGTTGCATAGATTTAATAAAACCGATTTTAATCCAGAAGCAGTTTTCCTTAAATTTGTCAGTCTGTCAGAGATTACGAGGTACGGTTTGTTTCATTCTCGTTGCCTATCACTTATACTTAAAACGAGGAACCACTACGATTCACACGCCGTAAATTAGGAACAAAACCGACTGGGACGAGTGAAGATCCATTCACTCGAAAAGACGATAAACAAAGTTGGAAATACCCTCACCAGCATATTGATTTGTAAATTAATTAGATTATTGATTACAAAATAACCACATATGAAAAATGCCCAGAATCATGACAAATACTGCACCGACTCATCACCATACTAAATTAGAAACAGAAGTAATGTTGAATAAAAATCACAATGAGTGGGAAATGTTATTTTGTTTTCTTATGCCGTCATATCATGGTTTGCACATATTTTATACACAACAAACACTTTCTTCGCGTTTTTCGATTGTAGAAATGAATGAAACATATCTTGCACCAAAGTACAGAAACGTTTCTATATTCTAGCTGACAATTCATAACTCACACATACCTAAACTGCCTTCATGTATTTCAACGAGATTTTATTTATTGAAACCGAGAACTTCCCTAAACTATAATAGAGTACGACTAAACCTCAAACTGACTGTCTTTAGATCTTTAAGAAGTGCAGTACCTCAAGAATCAGCGCTTGTATAAATGCTCTCTCATGTATATGCATATATAAATATATATTCAAAGACTAAAAGGGTTTTATTGAGGGAATGAGACTTGCAATATATGCACTTCAAATGTCTAGTTACCAAAAGAGCTTTCGATAGGAAAGATGATTTATCTCCTAATATTGGGTATTCGAAATTCAAACGCAAACCGCAATCCAATTTATTTCGTTCTAAGCTCATACCAAAAGCTTTGAAATGAGTGTTAAGTCATCTTAAACAAAGAATATTGTATCAGAATTTATTATTATTCTAAGTTCTTACTTTGAGTTTGTGAGCAATTTAGTTTCTTACATTTCCAAGGGGTGAGTTGGTTCTTACGGTCATTATTCGTTTAAAATAATTATTCTTTCAAACGGATGCACAAACTAATTGATCGAAAACTTTCCATACTCCATATTCTAGTTCAGAAATCGTCGAAAATGTGAGAAGTTAACATGCATTCACAACCGAATTTCATAACTGCGGAGAGTCTCATTCTTCACAAAGAGTGAAATTCTGGACGATAAA